TATGGCTATCACAAGCAAGTCCGATCCTTCTCCACCTCGCGAGATGTCATTAGCCGAGTCCGAGTCCGACCCATAATTTTCTTTCATCCTATCATCTCTAACAAGAGAACACAGAGTGCAGCAGACTCATCTACTTCTGAATAGCCGAAAAGCTAGCCGAGTAACTCGGGCCGCCGCAACAATCTCAAGAGTAGGCACAATGAGAGGCTGAGGAACCCCAAGCAACAACGAAGAATAGTGGAAGCTACTCGCCATTAAGACATCCCCTCCATTTTTGGGTTCTCGCCGAATTAATCGGTATACTCTTAGCCTCGCACGAATGCCCAAACACTTCGCAAGTTCCACGTACACTCCGCTTTCATTCATACTCAACCGAAACCGATATAGCTCGAAGATAACCTACATTTCAACCGAAAGGAGTGAACCATGTGCATCGAAGCATCCAACTCAACACAAATCCGAGCATAATCAAGTCGAGTGCATCCTAGAGTTTGTTGGTCGAGTATAAAGGTCTTCCAACCATACTCGCCGCCATACCTAATCCAAGCCTCATTCCACAATGGAAAAGGTAAACCATGAAGCTCGGATCCACACCGGAACCTTTCAAAGTTTGGATTTGTCAAAAACAAAGCTGGGGATGCCACCGTTGGAGAACAATGCTCTTACCCCCAAACATCTACTTGGTCCCCCGCTCCATAACCAAATGGACATCCTCCTCTCTCTTGAAACGAAAAATCATGAAACCTCGTCGTGTCGAGGAAACACTCTTAAGACCAAAATTTTTTCAAACCCATCGGGCAATAGTAGTTCACCGCATGTAATCCAGCATCCGAGCACCTGGAAAAAGCCAACTAAGCATCAGCTCCATCGTGAAGAACTCTCATCAATGACGTGGTCTCGGAATTTCCAAAACGCGTACCCATTAGTTGCCTTGGAAATGATGAAATCGAAGCTCGGGTTTTTACACTGCGTACACTTTAACCCGATTAGCCCACGACCCACTACGAGAGGTGGATGTGGTGGTGGCTTTGCCATTGGTGGTGACATTCGGCCATGGGTGGTCTCGGTGGTTTTCGCTGACCTATTGTGGTCGGTTTGGTGGGATTTTGGGTGGTCGTGGCATTTTTTATGGTGGAGGCGGATGCCGTCGTCAGCATCGTTCCGACGGCCATCAGTAGCAAATCGTCTTCAATCCAAAAACCAATGAACTCAAATTCTAGACGGTGAGCACGTAGCCACTTGAGCTACGAATCTTTCCACAAAGATTTCACCCTCATCCAACGCGTGGACAACGTGAGCGATTCCCCGACTCGCAATGTGCAACACAATTCCAGTAGTCTCCGTTTGAAAGCGATAACGCCTCGCTCACAGCTCGAAACCCAATCTCCCCCGTTCGTAAACCAAATCCCAACCTGTACACAACTGTGGTAGAAATTTGACCACATTCCAACTAACACAACTGAAATCTCAAAAACAATCAAAGTTCTTCTCGCCGTAAAAACCGTAAAAACATCACGAATACTCATACATAAATTTTTTTGCTTCCCTAATTCTGATCAAGAAATCCTTCGGCCGAATGCCGACGACGTACACAAAGAAACACATATCAAAATTTAAAGGCAATCGGACGGAGGAGTTATAGCTCCGACGACGGTGAATAACTGACCGCCAATTGTTGGAGCTTTCCAACCCATATGTTCCGTAGATTGTAATCCCCGCTCCACAATTAAAATACAAATCCCTCCAGATGAAAAGGAAGCGCAAAGTCAAGCGAACAATATACCAAAAATTCAGTACGATCCGACGGTAGACGACGGCGATCGAGCTTCGGCGACCATGGGTCTCCGTCTAAAAACCCGCGAGCTTTTTTCCTCCCTCCCTCCCTAAACCCCAAACCCTAAACCCAAAACCCTAAACTCTAAACCCTAAACGCAAAACCCTAAACCCTAAACCCTAAAACCCTAAACCTTAAACCCTAAACCCAAAACCCTAAACCCTAGACCCTAACCCCTAAACCCTAGACCACTAGACCCTAAACCCAAACCCCTAAACCGTAGACCCAAACCCTAAACCCTAGACCCTAAACCCTAGACCCTAACCCCTAACCCTAGACCCAAACCCCAAACCCTAAACCCTAGAACCTCGAACCCTAAACCCTAAACCCTAAACCCCAAACCCAAAGCCCAAAACCCTAAACCCAAAGCCCAAAAACCCTAAACCCTTAACCCCAAAACCCTAAATCCTAAATCCTAAACCTCAAACCCTAACCTCAAATCTCGAACCTTAATCCCCAAACCCAAACCCTAATCCTAAATCCTAAACCCTAATACTCTAAACCCTCGACTCTTAGACCACTATACCCTAATCCCTAAAATCCTAAACCCTCAAATCAAAAACCCAAAAGCCCTAAAACTCAAGCCCTAGACCACTAGATCCAAAACCCTAGACCCCAAACCCTAAACTCTAGACCCCTAAACCCTAGACCCTAAACTCTAGACCCCTAGACCCTCGACCCGGACCCCTACCCCCTAAACCCTAAATGCAAAATCGTAAACCCTAAACCCTAAACTTCTAACCCCGTGCCGTAAGCCCTAACCCTAAACCCTGGACCCTAGACCCGAAACCCCAAACCCCAACCCTAAACCCTAGGCCCTAAACTCCAAGCCTTAAACCTAAACCCCAGACCACTAAGCCTCAAACCCCGAACCCTAAACCCCAAACCTAAAGCCCTAAGCCCTAAACCCCAAACCCTAGCCCGAAGCCTCAAACACCAAACCCCTAAACCATAAACCCTAAACCCTAAGCTCTAAGCCTCAAACCCTAAACCCATAAACTATAAACCTTAAGCCCTTAACCCTACATAATAAACCTCATAACCTAAACCACTAGACCCTAATCCCTCAACCCTACACAATAAACCTCACAACCTAGGCCCTAAACTCTCAATCCTAGACCACTAAACTCTTAACCCTAAATCTTAAATCCCTAAACCCTCGACCCCGACCCTAACCCATAAACCTTGTAGGAGATTTAAAGGAGTGAAGGAAGTCATAGCTACTCTTTTTCCATTCAAAATTTTGAGGAATGAATTTAGATGGTCATTGAACGAGGTGATAGTGATTACTTTTGAGGTGATTGATCTAAGTCCTTGTGCTTGAACCATATGCGAGCGATCAATTTGAGCCAAGTCGCTCGTGCTATTCGTGCACCAATAACAAAAGGAAGTACGCTTCGTGAGAGAGCCGACAATCTAGTTGAGGACTAATTGGTCATGGCAATCCTAAGTAGCATAGAGTCGGATTCGGTTCGGTTTCGGAGATAATGGCAAGCATACGGATATTAAAAGCAATCAATATGATGGAGAAAACCATGACAACACAAGAGTTGGTGGAAATTGTGTTTGACAAAGGATAAAATTTGTGAGAGTAAGTTTAAGTAAGGTATGAGAATAAAAACTTTGAAGAGATGGTTGAACCACGGACAAGGAAGGAACTGCAGGAACAATAGACGTGTCTAGTGATACGACGAACCATGGGAAGGAGAAAAATTTTTTTTGAATAATGGAAAGAAAACAAATTTAGACTATTAAGCCTTTTTTGATTCCGATATCATGTAAAGTCTAAGAATCTCTACTATTGAATAATACGTACGAAAGTTATATATACAAAACCACAAACATGTGGATAAGTATTAGTTAGCTATAGAAAGACTAATAGTACACAATTAAAAGAAATAAGTTGAAGAAAAAGAGATACAAGTGCAAATAAATTAATGAAGAGAACTTATAATTCTTATCCTTATCACGGAGAAGTTAAGAAGGAGATGAATGTTTTTTGAATATTAAAAACAATAGGTCTGCAACTGGTGTCCTTGGTGGGAGAAAAGTTTTGGGAAAAATTTGCAACTTCCCTCCTCTTCTTTGCCTGACAAGTTAATAAAGCAAACTATATGGGCTGGGTATATATATATATATATTGGGAGATTTAAAGGATCTTGGGCTGCATAATGTGCTGAGCTCCAGTATCTGAAATTGAAACCTACTTTTTACACTGATAATATAAAGTATCTTGACTATGCAAAATTAATTTGCCATATGTCGTGCATAGAGCGGCAAAGGAATTGAAAGGCTGCACTCTAGAATTGCCCGCTCTAGTAGGGCGGTGGATAATTTTTTGAGGATGAATAATTATTTACTCCTCTATTCTGCCCTGTCTTACACACTTGACTTTGAAGTTTTTCCAAATGTCAATAGGCTGAGCAAGAGATATGAGAAGCATGTGGGCTAGAACAGAGATTAGCCCACCATTAGGTTCTGCTACGACCCAACATAAGCACAATGGGAAATCAAATATAGACACGGACTGTGCTTTACTACTACCCAACATGATCGCTTTGGACAAAAATGTATAGAGGCCCAATCTCAAACATTGTCGGTCCTGGGCTTCACTAACCCGGTTATCGGGTTGGGGCCTGCTCGTAAAATAAACAAGAAAGAAGGAGGAGGTGGCATGAGCCAGAAGCCATGAGCCATTCATATTCATTGGTTTGATGAGAAGATGAGGATTGAGATGGCCCACAAACAATGTCCATAAGCGTGTTTGTTTGTATTCAAGACACTCAAATCCTTTCCTTTCCCTTGCTTTCCTTTCCTTTCCTTTCCTTTCCTTTCTTGCTCATCGTGCACGCTTCTTGTTCTTACTTGTGCTGTGCGGTGGTCGATACCTGACTTGATATCTCAGTTCGTACAAGCAGCCTTACCTGTCTGCCTCTGCCTGGTAATCCTCTTATTTTTACCTACTACTATCACTACTACTGGTTTAATAATAAGTAATATAATTTATTTATTTATTTATATTAGTAAGAGTAATTAGCAAAGTAATTATTCATTGCGATTCAATTCGTTTTCGATTTCTGCTTTTATCGATCGCCTTCCGATAATAATTCCTCACCTCCTTTCCTTGATTGCATAATTTTCATTCAGCTTAGCTTGTTACTGTGCCATGGCCACTACGAACAAGGATGCTACTATTTCATCTGGTAAGCTTGCTTTCTTCCGTCCTTTATAGATCTGTTTTTGTTGTTGCGATTATGAAAAAACCTAGACTGGCTCTCTCACGCATCGCATCGCATCACATCACATATGCCTTTCTTTTTTATTAATGAGAAATTGCCTTTGTTATTAGATGAGAAAACAGGTTCGGCTTCGGGCCCAGAAAATAACAATAAAGAATCATCATCACAAACTTCCTCAGCCTCCGGGGAACAAGGAACAAGAACTCCTCCTCCCCCTCTCCAGGACTGGGAGCTGCTGCTGCTGCTGCTGCAATTCCTCCCAATCCTTTTGATTTCTCTGCCATGACTGGCCTGCTCAATGTATGTTTGTCAATTTCCATTACATTTACTAATTTTTTCTGTTTATTTCTTTGCTTTGTTTGCTAAGTATAAATAATAGTTATGAATTTGTGAATTGTGATAAACTATCTTTTTGACTGTAAAGGGCTTAACATGTTCCCATTCTTTCTTTTTACTCCACCTGTCCTCATGTCCTTAGCTAAATTTACTTTTGATATTGAAGCTCATTCTGTGAAATTGTTTTTACTTCACTCTAAAATGCTGGACAATTCCACCGTAACTCTCCAAGGGTTTATAGATGTCTGTGCTTTGATACGTGTAGGATCCAAGCATCAAGGAGTTAGCTGAGCAGATAGCCAAAGATCCTTCATTCAATCAGATGGCAGAGCAGCTCCAGAAGACTTTTCAAGGTCCCCCAGCCGAAGAAGGCATCCCTCAGTTCGATACTCAACAGTATTATTCAACCATGCAACAGGTTATGCAGAATCCCCAATTTATGACTATGGCTGAACGCCTTGGCAGTGCATTAATGCAGGTAAATCCTTTTTTTTTTATCTTGGTGCGTCTCATCTTTCTATGGATTCTTTACAAGTCCAGATGGAAGAGTAATTTTTTTCCTTATCCATCCTCAGGATCCATCGATGTCTCAAATGCTTGAGAGTTTTACGAACCCATCACAAAAGGATCAGATTGAGGAACGAATGACTCGAATAAGAGAAGATCCTTCTTTAAAGCCTATTTTAGAGGAGATAGAGTCTGGTGGTCCAGCTGCCATGATGAGGTCGGTAATCATAATATTTAGATATATGGTATTTTACTATTACTTGCTTAGAAAAATGGGGAAAGAATGTAAGATAGTTGTTATGTTTTTCCTGCCTTGACATTAGCAAAGGTGGATTCATCAAGTTGGTTTCATTATCTTAACTTACTAACAGCAAAAATGTGCTCGCTTAGGTACTGGAATGATAAAGAGGTCCTTCAGAAGTTGGGTGAAGCAATGGGTCTTGCTGTTTCTGAAGAAGCAGCAACTTCTGTAGCAACTTCTGGACATGCTGAAGTAGAAGGATCGGGAAATGAGGATGAATCAATTGTCCATAACTGTGCTAGTGTTGGTGATGTTGAGGTAGGGCACAACTAGCCTTTGCTGAATGCCTGCCTTGATTACTGATTTGACATGCTTAACCTTATCTCTTTTTTCTTAGATAGATGCCATCTTTATTTATAGTTAGATCATCTAAATTGTTTTTGTTTTTCTTTTCCATTAAATGTGTGGCATGTTATCTTCCAGTTAAAGTGTTTGCAGCCTAGAGTGAAAGAAAGTATTGAATATTGTCTAATTACTGGTAATGGACGTGTTTTGCACTGTTATATGGACTTAATGGTGAGAGAGGCTATAGGCACAAATTTCTATTTAGACACACCACAGGACTTGCCAACCTGGCAGCATTATTGGACAATGATGACCCTGTGGAACTTTCATATACTTTGATGGTTTCTTCTTGTTACTCTCCTTTAAACCCATGTGCATCTTTTGACATTTTGACATTTCATGGTAGCTGCAAACATGGGACTTGTTCTTTTCTTTGTTATATGATGTTCGTATTCATTTAACAATTAGTAGAAGCCCCATGATCCTCTTAGCCTATCTTTGGATTGGTTTAAATGCAGAGACCATGTGGTGAATGCTATGAATGGAAGAATGAATATTATTGTTATTTTCATTTTTATGTTGGTATTTTGTTCTTGCATTTCTATAGAAAAGGATAACATTGCTTTACTTATTACAATGTAGAGCATGAACGTGGCACTTGATTATAATGGACCATATATAATATAATTCTTTAACAAGTACTCTCATTATCCATGTTTCCATTAATCTTTTAAATAGTTTGTGGATCTTATGATCCCTATCGTTCTTTCGTTTCTATTGTAAATATCCAACCATGGCCTGATGCTCTCTCTCAATCCCTTCTCGACCCACTACCCAACACTTTGAAGAAAAGTCTGATGGCAGCTAACTTGGTTATTAAGATTGTTGACAGGATTCAATATTTCTTTTAAGTCTCCGGGACGTGGATCATTGTTTTTCTCTTTTGGATTTAAATTTCAGTTTGTGTTTATGAACCCTACGTGTCAAAGATAACACTACTCTAGTTTAGTGTATCATGTTATGAGGGCAAAATAATTGCTATTTCTCTTGAACTATTGTGCATGGTTGATGTGCAATAATCTTGCATGTACCATGCATGCTTCTCTTCATTTGTTGACCTTTCAATATAATTTTCTTTTGCCTCATGTAGATATCAAATGCTACTCTCTTTTATCTATTTAAGTCTGAGCAATTGAAGATACCTTTTGCAAGTTTAGCTTAAAAAGTTTTATCTGCGATCTCCAATTAGGGTTTGAAAAATGCAATAGCCTCTGGTGCTGACAAGGACGAAGAAGATTCAGAGGGAAGAACTGCATTGCATTTTGCCTGCGGATATGGGGAGGTATTATTATTTCTAAGCTACTGCTCTTTTTAACGCGGTTTGTCTTGGCTTTTTGTGGTTAAATCATCATCAAAAGACAAGTATGCTGCTAGAAAGGGTTGCAGAGTTCATGAATACCTGCACTGGATACTTGGTAGTTGCCCATGGCACCTTGCTGAAAATGAACTGCCTAGTTGGTTTATGCTCATAAAGCAGTAGATATTGATTGGTTTGTGAGCTATAGCTGACTTCTTGCTCTGGGCCCCTTCTAGTTGCATAATGATTGTGTTGTCAGACATTATTGGAAATATATCCAAATTGGTCAAATTACTTTTGTTGTAGGATGGTAAGCACTCAGCAGATGCTTTCTATTTGTTTCAGGTGAAGTGTGCTCAAGCTCTTCTCGAGGCTGGGGCAACTGTTGATGCACTGGATAAGAACAAGAACACTGCGCTGCATTATGCAGCTGGTTATGGAAGAAAGGAGTGTGTAGTCCTTCTACTGGATAATGGTGCTGCAGTGTAAGTCAATAGCTCTTGTTAGGAATGTCCTCCCTTTGTGGCTTCATGTGATTTTTCCTGCCCTGATGGAATATCTTCTTGGTTTATACAACAGTACACTTCAGAACATGGATGGTAAGACACCCATTGATGTTGCTAAACTCAACAACCAGCACGAGGTACTAAAGTTGCTCGAGAAGGATGCCTTCCTGTAACTTGACATGTGCGCATTGGGTTCTGGCATGTCATAGTCACTTCAGCGTGTTAGCCAATTTGATGTCGTTATTGTCATCTGATTGTTACATATTGAGATTTGTAGTTGGTGGCATAATCAGTCCGTTTTCTGTATCTGGGATTAAATAGGCATGCGATAAAATGTTTTATTCCATGTTTCATAAATTATCTATAACCGAGAACATCTCCAAAATGGTTTTGATTGGAAACGGTATATTATTCTTGTTTTAGCTTCCGATGCCTTATTTTAACGTCAACTACTCCCAAACATTCATATTGTGTTCCCGAGGCGGTGAGGCTGTACTATTTATAAATTTGGTATTTTATATGTGTGTTGCCAGAACGTGAAAGATGATATATATGTATGTAAGCAATGTCATGTGATTGCTGATGACCTGGGTTATGGAAGCAATGCCATGTGGTTTTGTTGCTGAATGCACCCAGATGTGAGCAGAACTTCAATTTTGAGTTCTTAAATTCCATATGATGGATCTAGTTTCTCTTCATGCATGGAGAATGGAGAGAACGAAAAACGCACTTCTTCGTCTTTCTTTATTAAAAAAAAAAAAAAAGAGGAATCCTATGCAATATAAAAAAATTATATTTAAATTCATTTATATTTTAAATTAATAAATTTAAATTTCTTATAAATAATTTTATAAAGTATTTGAAAAATAATATAGAAAAAAAAAAAACAACTAGTTATGTAAAGGATGGATGGGGAGAAAAAATGGAACTACAGTTAGTGAAACTTAAGAAAAATTATTGTTTTAATTAGTGTAATTATTTTGTGTGTGGAATTGAATGTGGGGATGGATGGGATATAGGAATGGGATAGGAAGAGGTTGCAGGAGGAGGAAAAATTAAATTGGATATCAATGGGAAGCGCATTGCCTCCACGACTACTCATCTCTGCTTCTTTCTCCCTCTCCAAAAGGAACAAATTGTTCTCCTCAAATTATTATTGTTACCACTACAAAAATATCGGAATCCGCACTGACCTCTCAGCCCCATTAGCCCCCGCCGAAAGAAGAAGAGATTATATGAGTGTTACTGCTACTGCTACTGCTACTACAAGCAAGGAAGAAGAAGACGACCAGGAGCAAGAATTGATCGGAAAGATAGATGGGGGTGGTGGTGGTGGTGGTGGTGGGAATTCGGATATAATTATATCGTCTTGCTTGGTGGGTCTCTTGACTGGGATAGCTGTAGTGCTGTTCAACAACTCAGTGCATGAAATACGGGACTTGTTCTGGGATGGAATTCCTTATAGAGGTGCTTCCTGGTTGAGAGAGGAGCCTTTCGACTCTATCTGGATAAGAGTTGTCTCCGTCCCTGCTTGTGGCGGCTTGATAGTTAGCATCTTGAACCACCTTCAAACAACCATTATTACTCGTACTAATGGTGAAGATAAATATAAAAGTGATAAAAAACGACCACTGCAACTACCAGTGGCTGCTGCCGCCGCTGCTCCTAGTTTCTTGAAAGCTTTGGCTGCTTGTTTCACACTTGGTACTGGTAATTCCCTTGGCCCCGAGGGTCCTAGTGTCGAGATTGGTGCTTCTGTAGCCAAAGGAATTGCTTCTCTGTCTGTGTTTAATAATCACAATTCTAATCAAACAAAGCTTTCCCTCCTAGCTGCTGGCTCTGCTGCTGGAATCTCTTCTGGTTTGTTTCTCTCCTCATCTATCTCTCTGTCAAATACTACATGCATCTCCTTCAAAATTTAAAAAAGAAATACAGGATTCAATGCTGCTGTTGCTGGGTGCTTTTTCGCTGTGGAGTCAGTGTTGTGGCCATCCCCAACTGATTCTTCAACCTCACTCACAAACACCACTTCTATGGTTATACTTAGCGCTGTAATAGCTTCTGTTGTATCAGAAATTGGTCTTGGTTCTGAACCTGCTTTTAAGGTCCCCGACTATGACTTCCGCTCCCCGAGTGGTAAGTAAAAAAGTTCAATTACTAGCAGAACTATCAGCTTAATTTCTCCTTGGTTGATTGATTGGTTTTACTCCAAACATTAATTATTCAAGTTTTTTTCATAAACATTTTACTATTAAAGCCTAAAAAGCTAGCTATTGTTCATCTCATTTTCAGAACTCCCACTGTATCTTTTGCTGGGTATCCTCTGCGGCTTGGTTTCGTTGACCTTATCTAGATGCACATCCTTCATGCTCTCAACTGTCAATCACCTTCACCACACTGTTGGGATTCCAAGTGCTGTGTTTCCTATACTAGGTAGTTTAGCTATTGGCGTCATAGCTTTGGCATATCCTGAAATCCTATACTGGGGTTTTGACAATGTTGACGTTTTGTTGGAATCTCGGCCATTTGTCCAGGGCCTCTCAGCTGACCTGTTACTTCAGCTTGTAGGAGTCAAGATAGTTGCAACCTCTTTATGTCGGGCCTCTGGATTAGTAGGAGGCTACTATGCCCCATCCCTCTTTATCGGTGCTGCAACAGGAATGGCATATGGGAAATTCATTAGTATTGCGGTTGCTCAGTCTAATCCGACATTTCAACTATCCATCTTGGAAGTGGCATCACCACAAGCTTATGGCCTGGTACTTTTCTAAGACATGATTATACAGCTTGATACTTTCTTACATTCAAGTTCTTATCTACTGGTTTCATGGTACTTGCACAATAATAAGTTGCTATGGTATGCATCATCGAACTCAGTATTTCCTCATCAGCACATATATTGCCACTGCTTAGAGCAAAGAGGGTCTACATTGATGGCTTTATTAATTCATTTTCTGAGAAGGATTAGGATTTCGAGAATGTCAAGCTTTCAATGTTTCCTGCCTATTGTTATATTATTAAATGCTAGAGAGTAGATCCCTTTGTTTCTTGTTCATTGAACAATCACTATTCTCAAACATCTATTGCAGACCCACCCTGAAGTTAACCTTTACTGAAATCAAGTACGCCATAACCTTGCTGCTATTTTCTTGTGTAATTATAGTTAAGTGAATATATAAAAGATTCATATCCATGGAAGAGAACAAGATTCAAGATAGAACAGAAGAAAGAGAGTTGCAGTGAGTGTTGAGAAGTTCTCACTTTATACTCAAATTAAAATATATGTAAACAGGATAAGACATTCTTATCTCTTTGCTAGACAGTAATGGACTCTAAAAGAAGGCTCCTCATTTTGAACGCTGTTCCAAACTAATTGCCTTGTATATCATAAAAGTGACCATCGCTCTCTTTATTACATCTATTTGAACTGATTGATGGCAGTTCTGTTAAGTTACAAGATATCTCCCACGTAAGTGCAAGCTCTCATGATTGTACCCCTCACAAGGTCCCTTGTTTTCTCATCTAACCCTACCAATATAGTGAAAAACTAAGTTACAAAAGCACTTTTGGACAGTGAGGCTGACCACGAGGTAGCTTAATGATGTTTTGTCAAGTGCATTTGAGCTGTCCATACACGTAAAACCTTTTTGGATTGAATACTCTAAACCATCCAAAAGCATCATGTTACTGATCATTCGGAGATGCCCATTTCAGGTTGGAATGGCTGCAACACTTGCAGGGGTGTGTCAGGTACCTCTTACTGCAGTTTTGCTGCTCTTTGAACTGACACAAGACTATCGAATAGTTCTACCACTACTAGGAGCTGTAGGGTTGTCTTCATGGATCACATCCGGACAGACAAGAAGAAAGGATGGCAAAGGTACCACAAAACACAATGAGGGAAACACTCATCCAACTCAAGAACCTGAAATGTCTTCCCCTGAGACAACTGGGCAATCCTCTGTTTATGTACCTACTGAAAAGGCATCTTATGAAAGTAACCTTTGTGAAGTTGAAAGTTCTCTGTGCATAGATGATTCTAGTATTGAAACTGAAGTTTTCAAGAGGAGAGTTTTTGTTTCAGAAGCCATGAGAACAAGATTTGTAACTGTTCTCATGAGCACTTCACTCACTGAAGCAGTGAGTCTTATGCTTGCAGAAAAGCAGTCTTGTGCAATGGTTGTTGATGACAATAATATTTTAATTGGTTTACTGACTCTTGGTGACATCGATGATTTTAGCAGAATTATAAAGTCAGAAAGCAGGATACCCAAGGTATGGAACCCTCCTTTTAACAAATTTTCATCATCCCATTTTACTTTCAGATATTTGTTCTGTTGTGCGAGTGTGGTTATTATGTCATAAATGTGAAAAAATAAAAAAGCCAAAAAATCAAAATATTCAATTGGTTGAAGAATCTAAAAGCAAATCAAGTACTGAAGACAAAATGTGAATGGTTCCTCTTGTTCATCAAGTAGGCGTGCATTGGAAGAGAATTTCTAAAAAATACAAATGAAAGTTTTAAATCTATCTGTACATTGGTATTGAGTACTACTGAAATATAGGCCATCTGCCTGCATACTACAGAACCAGATAGGTTCAATTTAGAAATGTTGGTGACTCGGTCTTGACTTTAGAGTTCCTAAAATGCCTGCCATATGTTAATAGCTGGTTGCAAGTACCACATCCTAGCTACGACCATCTACTAATCTTGACTAACTGACTGTTTCTGTTTCAGGAACTTCTAGTATCTGAATTGTGTTCCTTGGATGGTGAAAGATGTCGAGTACCATGGACCGCCAAGCCTAGTATGGACCTTCTCTCAGTGCAGGTCATCATGGATAGGCATAGTGTGAGTCAGGTTCCAGTTGTTTCAGAACATACTGAAGATTACAGGGGGCAACCAGTAGGGCTTTTGGACAGAGAATGTATCAGTATAACTTTCAGGTTTCTACACTACATTAACCTAAGACAGCATTTCCATTAGCTAGTTACTAGACTAACAAGCACCTGCTATATGCAATTAACTGATTGACCTCACGAATGCAATGCAAACATGGTCATGTCATGCATTTCTCATTCTGCATTTCTTTTAATCGACTTCATTAACATCTTTGCACTTTCTATAAGAATTAATCATGGGTTGCGCAATGATATAGGGAAAACCGAAAAAAGAAGAATGAAATCTGGGTTAGAAGTTAATTTGGTCTCTTTCCTTATGTATGAGGAGAAAAAGAAAAATAAGGTTAAATGTCAAGAGTCAAGTAGGATGTGCAAATAGAAATAAGTAGTGTTTTTTTCTAGGTTCCGCATGCAATTAAGTCGTTTGTATATTACCACTGTCCTTCCATTTTATTTTTTTTTATTTTTATTTTTTATTTTTTTTTGCAGAGCCCTAGCAACTAGAGAATCCCTCAGATAGCATACCATGTTAGAAAGACTAGGCCGCTATATGAGGATGGAGAGTCAGTCTGCCTTGATGTGATATTTGCCTGATGCTAATTATTCCCTAGTTTTTAATGATAATACCAGTTTAAGGTTAGCAGAGGCTGTGTTCTCTGTTTAGTGGCAGTGGAGCTAGACATGACACAGCAACAGGGGAACTTGGGAGAGGAAGGACTATCCGGTGCTAGCCATATGCCATTTACGGAGCTGCGGATAACCGCAGCCAGGAATAGGATGACAGCTTATGCAAGGATACATGAAGAGACCTGAAACCATGGTGCCTGACGTTGGATTTGTTGGTTGCTCAAATAGTGATGATGGGTTTAAAAGGGGTGCTTCCACTTAGTTTCTTCATCTTCGTTGTATTTTTTGTCTTTCTATGATTTTTTCGGCTTGGCCCTCGTCTTTTTGTTATTGCCGCTTGCGTATTCTGGACGCCTCTCTCTAATTCAATAACAATTCAAGAGGCGATAAATGGTGAAAAATGTTTTAACTTTACATGTAAATCGATGTCCTTTGTATGTACAGTATTTCTTTCTTCTTTTTTCCCAAATATTTATCGCTATCAAAACGTAGATTGTATATATATTTCAAATTTATAAAAAGAAGACAGAAGGCCCATTACATTGTTTGCAAACAAAGCCAACACTTAGGCCCAACCCACAAGTACATTTCCTAAAACACATCCCCATCCGTCCCATATATATATATATATATTTCAAATTTATAAAATGAAGACAGAAGGCCCATTACATTGTTTGCAAACAAAGCCAACACTTAGCCCAACCCACAAGTACATTTCCTAAAACACATCCCCATCCGTCCTATGCACCGTTTACCTTCGCTCCAACAAACTCCACTACCTGACATTGGCTTGTCAAGTCAGATGTCATCCCATTTATCCAAGCAGTCATCTATGCAGCTGCCATGTAATTTGAGTCCACTATACTCAAGGCTCCGCCTGCCATTCTCCTTTTTTTTTTATAAAAATACTCTTCCATGTACTTTCAAGAAATATCATCACTAGTATCCCAAAAAAATCACAATTTTTCCTCCATTCTAATTATTTAAGGAAAAAAAAATCAGCAACAAATTCTAGAAATATTTTTTTCTCCTTCCAAGTTTTCACAATATTCAATACAAATTGCCTTGATTAAAAAAACCATAATTAGACACGAAACCCTTCAGGTTCTCACGGTTTGTACAAGTTTCTAATCATATATGCAGAACTCAAAAAACCATACACCAACTCGGAACGGTTTGTGGAATGGTGATTTTTACTTACATTACATTTGATTAGAAGGCTTGTTCAGATTTTCCTGTCCAACTCTCACACCTAGCAACTACTTGGAGTACATCTGATCAGAAGGCTTGTTCACATTTTCCTGCTCAACTCTCACACCTGGCTCATCAATTTGCATAGGACCAGCATCCAAAACCTGCAAGAGTTGATGCCAATTAAAAAAAAAATCGCATTATAGAGGAATCAATAGAATTTCAGTAAGAGACTTTTGGGTGCTGAGAAATCTATAAGCAGTAACCCCTTGTGCGTTTCACATTCGATTTTTCTTGCAGGAGATTTATGTGAAGGCATGCATATTAAGCTCACCTTTCCACTTGCATTCTCGTCTACTGTTGTATCAAAGCCTCTAGCATGCTCAGAACTTCCTTTCTGGCCCTCCTGCAAAAGGCAAAATGAATATTACTGTAACAAACAAAATATAAAACTGAAACAATGCACTGATGAATGTTTTGTAATTTTGCACTAAGTAGTATTATTTCCTCTCCTTTTGGGTTAAAGCAAAAGGAAAGCACTATCTCTATCTTGTGTTCAAGGAAGTTGATAATAGTTCAAGTTCCCTAAAAAAAGGCTCATTTATACAGTTGGCAGCAGCAGTAGCATTAACATTGATTGTACAAAGCAGATGATGCAACTTCTTCCTGCCAAATTCACCTAGGTTCAATTCTCAAGAGTTTAATTGTCAAAATTTCTTTTCCACCTTTATGAACACAAGGACAGAAAAAAAAAAGAAGATTCTTATTAAGGTTATGGATTAAGATAGTTAATCAGGAAAAGACATTCATAGGCCAACGCCGGGAATTTAAAATACCAAGACAAAAAGTAAGTTGTAGTTCATCATACCGACTCTTTGGGCTCAGCTTCAACTATTTCTCTCTTCACTCTGCTTGGTAATGACTTGCTGTATATAAACGTAAATTAGTAAACAGCAGAATAAAATAATTAGAAAAAACTTCTTTCACCCCTTTTTTGTGGTAGAACAACAAGTACCGTTCATCATCAACATCCATGTCGGAATCTGGATCCCATCTCTCATCTGCATCATCCTGATCTTCTGCCTGATCATTCTCAATAAATAGGAGACATATAGTTTAGTAGCATTAGCAGACACGATTCTATTTGTGAACTAAACAAGTTAATCCTAGACTACTGTGAATTAGCAAGCAAAAGGAGTTTTAGTGTGAAGCCCAAGTAGTTAAACTATAAGATCTTAGTTGTGGCTTGTGAGAACAATTAAAGTCAATGTCAATTATTTCGTCTTTATAAAAGTAAGCAAAGGATACCTCTGGAAGCTCAGTATCGGGTGGTCTTTCCTGAAATTGGACACTGGGTGCATGCTGAAGCGTTGAAAGATTATCAAGGAGCTTAGACCGTATTTCCTCAAGTAACTGGCGGGAATTCTTATTTTCCATGTTGCTAGGGGCAACATGAAGAGTATAATCTGGACCAAAGTACTCAAAATACTCATGCTGTGGCATCTTATCATCAACTTCCATCCCAAGAGCAACTCCAGTCTGCCATATATTCGTCACATCAAAAACATAGTGGTAGGTTAAACAAAGATATTAAAAAAATTACTTCAAATCAAATTCATAAGTAATTGAGAAAGAGACATTTCAAATGCAAAAACAAAAGAAAATCATACCTCGTAGCACCAGCAGCGAGCAACATTTCGAATGGTGTAGCCACCACCACCCAATAGCAACAATGGAACATTGAAAGATCTCATAAATTTAACGCACTCAGCGTGGCCCTTGATCGAAAGATTGAAGCATCCTAATCTATCCCCAGATAATGAGTCAGCACCACATTGGAGAACCACAGCACCCGGTTTAAAAACTTCCATTACTTTTCCAATTAGTGGTTTAAACAAGAAATGATAGCTCTCATCATCAATTCCATCATCCAACGGAACATTAAGAGAGTAGTATTTTCCTTTTGAATATCCAATATCACGTATATCCCCTGTGCCGGGAAAATAATCTCCAAATTTATGGAATGAAACAGTCATGACTCTATCAGTGGTGTAAAATGCTTCCTCCACACCATCACCATGATGAATGTCAATATCCACATACAGAACACGCTGCAAAGGCATGGAAAAGAAAAGATCAGATTATAAGATTAGACCTGAAAACCTAAAAGAAAAAATAATAACATAATACAATTTTAGAGTAGCGATTAGAAGGCACTGAGTTAAACTAAGGTTTTCTGAAAAAAGGTGGGCCTATCCAAGGTGACATTGAGAAACTATGTTAGCATCTATAACAAGACAGAGATAGTAAAAAACCTCATGCACTTTAAGAAGCTCCAAGATTGCAAGCACGATGTCATTGACATAGCAAAAACCAGAAGCTTCACACTTCTTAGCATGATGGAGGCCACCAGCCCAATTGACAGCAATGTCACAGAGGTTGTGATTTAACTTCACGGCACCACCAACAGAGCCACCAGCATAAGTCTGGCAGAAGGAGTAGAGGCCATCAAAGACAGGACAATCTTCGCCAACGTTAAAGCGCTTGAGCTGCCTGAGCTGGTCCTGCTGGGTCTCTGGGGTAATGCTGCGGAGGAAAGAGACATAATCATCGGCATGGAAGCGGCAAAGATCCCGGTCACGAGCAGGAAAGGGCTTGAGGACTTGCATGTGCTGAAGCAAACCGTAGTGTGCGAGAAGAGCATGGGTCATCCGAATGCGGTGGGGCTTCATGGGGTGACCTTGGCCATAATAGTAATTGCCGACTTCTGGATCATAGAAATAGCAAACCTTTCTCTTAACCCCATCAGGTGCAGAAGACGGAAGAGAATTGCCTCCGGCGTCCATTATTAGTTATTAATTATTATGGATAGATGGATCTCTATTGTTGCTGCTGCTGTATTTTAATCAAAAGAAACAACCTAAGAGATTTGCTGACCAATTAATTAATTAGATAATACATAGACTAGATGTGCTTGAAATTGAAAAGCCAAGCCAAAAATTAAACCCTAATAAATAAACAAAAGAAAGGAATAATGAAGCTCATGCTCATGTATCAGTAACCAGTATAAGTATGGTAGCGAAACTAACTAACCAACGGAAGCAAATTGAAGAAGAGAAACCAAAACAAATCTAATAATAATAGTAGTAGGAGAAGTATTCAGCAAACTTTAAGAAAATCACAAAAAAAATAAGACTAAACTGGAAGAGATTAATTAACAGATTAAATTGAAGAATACACAATAATAATAGAAATAAATAAATATATCAGAAAAAAGGAAGGAAGGAAAAAATGTTTCATTTTCGTACCTTAAATTAAATTTTAATGGCAGCTTAAAATAGAAAAGGAAAAACTTGCTGGTCTTTCTGCTGCAGCGGAGAAGACCCACCTCTCCCCTTTAATTTCAGAAAAGAAAAAAGAAGACGTAATGTAACGCAGCTCTCCTCTGCTCTTCGTGTGACTACTTTCAATCGTGGTGCCTTCCTTCAATTTTGCTTTTGTCAAGTTCATTTCTTTGCTTATTTCTAGACTTGTTTGGAATCGAGGAAGTTTTTGGCCGAATGGGCCTGAGCTCTTCATTCTTCAATCACAATTGGGCCTTACCGCTTCATTCTGCAATCACAATTGGGCCTCACCGCTTCCTGATGCAATCAGTTTTGAGCCTGAAAGCTTTATTCTTCAACCAATGTTGGGCCTGACCGCTTCATTCTGCAATCAATATTGAGTCTGCCCACTTTGCCGAAGAGTTCAATCTGAAAGGAATGGGCCTCTGCTCTTGATGACTCATTTTAGTCGTTTGGAAGTTCTGTGATTATGACAGGTGATCTTTTCCATAGAAGTTTTGTGTATTACATCTACACCTCGGTGCGTGCGTGTACCATTTTTTACGCATAGAGGCGAGAGTGAGCGTGAAAGGGAGACAGCGACTCCTTATCAGATTATAACATCATCTGTGTGGGAGACACGGTCACCGCACAACTCTGGGCAAAGGCCGAGACCCACATATGGGCACGTGGGCACGTGAGCATCAAGGACTTCCATGGCTGCAACTGCTGCCACGACTACCATACAACTATTCCGTCGATTGAGCACACATTTTCTTGCCAGCTATAATGTATAAGTTACATGGACATTAATGCTACATATTTGATTTTTTATTTATTCATCATAAAAGCTTATAAAGAAATCAATCTAGCAGTATTTTAATAACCTTAATTGTGTCACAAACAATGCAAATAGGAAGAAAGTCATCATGGATTACCACTACTGAATGATCTAATTAGGATGAGTACGAAAATTAGATTAAAATTCATGACTTCTAGCACGAATGACTGCTTATTTGTTTCTTAATTGTTTGCATCTTTTCATTATTTATTTATTTGCTATAAAAGAAAGATTATTCGAAATCTTCTCATGAAAAAAAAATAAAAAATCAATATCAATTGAACTATAATTTATTAGCATTTTTTTCATTTTATAATTAATGACAGAAGGAGGACTATATGTTAATATCACTTCTATACATATGGCCTAGATTATATATATATATATATATATATATATATATAAATATATATAAAGGTAGGTAGTTAAGAAAGTTGCCGTAAAAAGTATGCATGTGGGTTTTATATATAAATAGAAAAAAAACGCAAACAAATTCAACGATGGCGAAATTTATCTTCAAAGAATGCGACATCGAGAATTTGAGGCCTCATATAAAACCATAGCCACTTTAAACATACAGTACGTTTTACTTTTTACATTATCCAAATATCCAATGATTAAGCATTGAGACCAACATATATAATAATGAAAATAGCCAACCAAAAAAGCCTGGAAGTGATAGTTACTCCGTACTTAATTGGACTGTATAAGGGGACAAGACAGTTTATGGTGAAAATGGAACGTTATCTGATTCCAGGCGACCACCACCACCTGATTTTGCTTCCAATCGAAACCAAAACAAGGCTTTACGCACGCAGTACTAAACTTCTGTAATTGATGGTCACTGTAGAGGGCAGAAAGGACGTTGGCAATATTAGCTAGCTAGCTAGCAGCTGGATTACCAAAATCAAAAGCCTAACTATATATCCACCGACGATGTTGTTTCTGCCAAGTAATTAACAAGCGGGCGAGCTGCAATGTCTGATTCATTGCCAACAAGAAAAGCTAGCCTTCAACTCTAATTCTTTACTGTTGTTGTTATCTGAACCGGACGTACGTGAGAACTTTCTCAGTTAAATCTTCCCCTCTAAGCTGCTATTGCATGCGTGCCTGCCTGCTTTTCTTTCTTCTCAAGTAGGTCCATTTGATCCAAGCTATGTATAAATCCTCTCAACTCTGTCTCCTTAATTTCCTGCTCAATTTTTTTAGCTCTAAATGTGCCGATGGGGTTATGTGCAACACGATCCTGTTGTAAGAGTACATATGCTTGAATCTCAAGGGATATAATACTCACACTTCTGTTCTGATTAAATAGTTGATCAAATCTATGCAGGCTCACTTATCAACTTATTGTTTCGTTATTACATATATGTTCACTGTGTCACACCTGTTCCAAATTCTCCAGCACTGTTGGCTTGATGTTTTCCTCATAATCAATTGCTTTTAAATTCAAAATTTTCTGTCCTCAAATCAGGGACGTTTTCTGTTGGCAATTCTTAGTTTATTGCATTAGCTAGTTGGTTTTGACTCAATTTATCTGATGGAGTATATATGTGCTAATTAGTTACTAATATAGTAACATTTTTCTCTGACTTTTCCTTTTCCATAATGTTGGCACATATATAGGTGATTTATCGAGATCAGAAATTTAAATATGGAGAAAGCAAAGGCAAATTCTTCTACGGAGGATCAACCGCGAAGATCAATAGAGGTTTTTGAACCTCGTAATGATAATATTGCAAGTGATGGCACTGGATCAATAGAGGTCCAAGTGGTGGAAGAGGGATGCGGAGCATCTGCAACTATTAATACTACTTCTGGTCGTAGCACGGAGTCCGCGAACAAGTGGATGGCATTTGAAAGAAAATCCAAAATCGCTGATGATCATGATGATGCCATAACAGATGAATTGAATGTGACTGAGACGAGTTCTACTGTCAAGGCTGGAAAAGATGAGGGCACCTCATCTAATCATAATAATTCTACTGCTAACGGACAATCCTCCTCCTACTCTACAAACAAGATACTAACTGAATCTAGCATTGCAGGAAGGACTGCAGAATGGGGACTAGTTGTGAGGTCAGATGTGGGAGAAGGTAGTTTCAAAGCTAAAGCAATTAGATCAGATCAACAGGAAAACGGAGATAGAAGCAAAAAAAACTCATTTGTGGTGGAGTCGACGAGAACATCAGAGGAAGGCGAAGCAGGAGGAGCCTTGCCAAGGGCATCACAAGAGTTGAAGGATGCACTGTCAACGTTGCAGCAAACGTTTGTCGTCTCTGATGCCACCAAACCAAACTGCCCTATCATGTATGCAAGCAGTGGTTTTTTTACTATGACAGGCTATTCTTCAAAGGAAGTTATTGGAAGGAACTGGTGAGCTACCTTTCCACCATTATATATGTGTGTGTGTGTGTGTGTGTGAGTATATATTAAAAAAATGTTAGCCTTTCCACTCTTTTTGTTAAAATTCTGATTCTGATCAATCCTATATTGTTGATGATGGAATTCATTAACTTGGTTATGTTGCAAATGCAGTCGGTTTCTGCAGGGAGCAGATACTGATCCGAATGAAGTGGCTAAGATACGAGATGCAGTTAAGAATGGAACAAGTTACTGCGGAAGGCTTCTTAATTACAAGAAAAATGGCACTCCTTTCTGGAATCTTCTCACAGTCACCCCTATCAAGGATGATCGTGGCAAAACTATTAAATTCATCGGGTATGCTTCATTTTGACTAATTTAATTTTTCGAATAAATTAAAGTAGCAGTAATTAATTGGTAGGGATGTGCTTGGTGAGTACAGAATGCAGGTGGAGGTCAGCAAATATACGGAAGGTGTTAACGACAAGGCTTTGCGCCCAAATGGATTGCCCAAGTCTTTAATCCGCTACGATGGTAATTGGTTTCCCCAAATTTCTGCCTTTTCTTGTTCTTTATTAATAGTTTCTACCATCAAATAGTCAATTTCTTCTACAATAATTTGACTTGGCAGCTCGTCAGAAGGCTAAGGCTTTAGATTCCCTTACTGAAGTTGTCCAAACTCTCAAGCATCCCAAATCTCACTCTCGCACTGTGAGCCACGACGTTTCTGACCATCTTGATTACTTTCTCCCTAAATCCGCTGCTTTTGACAATGTCACCGCACCTGGTAGACTCACTCCAATTAACGTCTCTCAATCTCCTACTACCTTTCCTGAAGCTGCCAAAAACTCAAGAAAATCATCTCGTATTTCTTTGATGGGGTTAGTTTGGCTGCTCCACCTTCCCGCTATGTTTGCCTCTCAGACGTTACATTTGCATCATACTCTAAAATTTTCAATAGCTATATATCACTTGTGCAACATTGTCCTTCTCTTCAGGTTCAAATCTAAGTCTTTAAGTTATGCGGTGAAGCGTGAAGAACCACCAACTATTTTACCTGAGGTTTTGATGACTAAAGATGTTAAACGCTCTGAAAGCTGGGACCGTTCGGAATGGGAAAGGGATATACGCCAAGGATTTGATTTAGCTACCACATTGGAACGCATCGAAAAGAATTTTGTGATCACAGATCCTAGGCTTCCTGATAACCCTATTGTAAGGCATCTAGTCCCTTTTACTACTTTCTTCTAATTGTTTGTCTCATCATTGTCGAATACATCTTGAATGCCAGAGTCCGTTTTTGAGTACATGAAAAGGAATAGGCCACCTAGTTTGCTATCTCAAGCCTCCTTGCTCTCTCATGCCAAAGGCCTGGATTCAAAAGCTTTTCCCACATCAACTCTTTAACTTATAAATGAGGGGAAGAGGAGGATCGAGCTTGCATTGTGGAAATGGATAACTGTCTCTTATATGCTTTCCTACATGTTTGATTTCTATACTAAATGTCATGTCATTAAGATTGTCCCACAACCCTGATGCACTAATCCGAGAAGTAAACTGAACAAGTACAATAGATCATGGGCTTCTCCAGATACAATCCACTCATGCTTGTCCCACATTGGAATATTGACCAACTAACTAGTGGGATTCTGAAATCAATATATGTTTAACAAATATTTATTTGCATTTGAATTATTATCAACTTTAGTGTCCATTCTTTTCTATCCACGAAGTAAGATATATGCTTTGTTCTTTCTCAATGCTAGCATTATACCTCTTGCAAGCAATTAATCTGCGTACGTGCAACCTAGTGCTGGCATATTTTATTAATTCAGCTTTACTATGCAGATATTTGCTTCTGATAGCTTTCTAGAACTAACAGAATACACTCGAGAAGAAATTTTGGGAAGAAACTGTCGGTATGAATTTCAGTACATTTGATGTCTTTATTTACTGACTACCTTCTTCGTTTTTTTGCATATACCTCCCACTATACTAGCCTTCAAGTTGTACTCTATTTTTTACATATAGTGCTTATGCCCTGTCATTCTTAATGTCAGTTTTTATCATGCCTTTCCCAATTAAGCATAATGCCATTTTGTGTTCCACAATAGCCGTAAATCAACCTTTCCTTCATTTTGTCTGTAAATTATATGACTTAAAGAGGACCCTCATATGTAGATATTTTTGGAATTCTAGGGGAAGATACCTGTATGAAACCATGAATTTTTACTTTTGCTTACATTGTGGATATTGATGGTTCAAAGTATTAAATAGGCAAGGAGAAAGTTAAGATGAACTTGTAATTGCTTGCAATGTTTTCAGAACACGAGAATAGGTGGGACTTCATTTATGGGTGGCTAGTTTACTAGTTAAGTGGAATGTGAAGAGCAAATCTATGCTGATGCTCATAATTCTATTATGCTTATATTTCATAATTTTCTGTGGAACACTTGTTGCTGCAAATTGAACACAAATACACTTGATTTCCTTTTCAATAAGAATTACATAAACATAACAGCATCAGTTTAACCCTCTTCTGTTTTATGTACTATGTACTTTATCAACAACTGAAACACCATTCTACTTTGCTTTGTCAATTATACAGATTTCTTCAAGGACCTGAAACAGATAAATCAACTGTCTCAAAGATAAGAGATGCTATCAGAGAACAAAGAGAAATCACTGTTCAGTTGATCAATTACACCAAGAGTGGTAAGTATGTGATTTCAATTTCATGATGTTGCAAATTTATACCTTTTTTAGCTGAATGTTATAACTGTCTCATTAATCCTTGAATGTTAGAAAGAGAATTCACAATTTGTTTGAAACTTTTCTATGATACAATTTTTGGAGGACACGTTATCGGTAAGACATTATTTTAGTCAAATTTGTGCACCATCATGAATTTTTATGCTTAATTACATGCAGGAAAGAAATTCTGGAACTTGTTTCACTTGCAGCCTATGCGTGACCAAAAGGTAGCTGTATGATTGTTATTGTAGACATTTCTTTTGAGTTTCTTGGTTGATCTTGGGCTGTAATTCTTGTTGGCCTATAGTTATTGTGGCAGGATCTAAACTAAATTGGTTAATCATTTTGGTGTCTTGGCCGTTGGCCTAATCTTTTCATTTTTCCTTCTTCCTTCGGGTTGTAGGACTTATACCAACACTCCCTTTCACATGCAACCATTTATCCTTTCCTGAGTTGTCATGTCAATTGACAATCATCATATTGCACACTGTGCTTGTTCTCACTATCTCTAGCCATTTTTTTGTATTCACTTGTGATCCTTGTACCACATCATGTGCCTCAATCAATTTTTTATTTTTATTTTTAAAGTAATGCTAATTTTACTGAGAAGAATCCATTTGACAGGATGCCCTTAATCAATCTAGAACATTTGATCAGTGGGCGCCCACGTTGTTACCAGATAGTTTTCCCTTGGTGAATCAAGATCTATCTCCGTTTCATTTTTCTTTCAGGCTCTCTGAATTGTTTGCCTTTTTTGACTGATAATCTTTGGCTATTTCTTCGTGGGGCTTTTATTTAGAGCATCGTCCTTTCTCTCTTTCTTATCGTTGGGTTCGTTCCGCACCAAACTGGTTAACCACTTTGGTATTGTACAATTATCTTGTAACTTGTTCTTTTTTCCTGCGTCCTTCATGTAGAACTCAATCCAAAAATGTCAGTTATAACATGGAATATTCTGGTATGATTTGTTGTCATGAGTCCCCTATTCTAATGCAGGGTGAACTTCAATACTTCATCGGTGTTCAACTGGATGGAAGTGATCATGTGGAACCCCTGCGAAACCGCCTCTCAGAGACAACAGAGCAACAAAGTGCTAAGTTGGTACGTGGTTCTTTCCATTGAGTAGACATCATAATTCATAATGTCTCATGTGCATTAACACCCACAAGCTTATAAGTTTTTACATGTGTTTCTTTTTCAGGTTAAAGCTACTGCAGAAAATGTGGACGATGCTATTCGAGAACTTCCAGATGCCAACTTGGTAAGGTATTCTTTCCACTTTGGGTTAGGACTGATAACTAGTTGATGCCATTTATCTTCATCCAATTTTGACCTTTCTGTGTTTTAAATTCTCAATAGCACATGGATGAATTGTGGGATGACTATGCATATTGTAATAAATTGCTTGGCTACTGAAATTGATGACTGACATTCTCAAGATCTTCCAAAAAAAAAACCGAAATGAAAGATATTCACAGCTTTAGAATTTTACATGTTAGGAATCACTTGACCCAAAAGCTTACAGAAACCTTAATTTATGCTCAAATAACAAAATATACTTAAGTTCATGGGTTTATAAGTGAATATCTCAATATGTATAATTTTTTAGTCTCGGTTCAGAAAATGGGTTGATTTAGATACTACTTTTTGCGATGCTATTAGAAAGTTCCGCTTATTTAGAGGGTTTATAATGTAGACTGATGTAGTTCTTCAACAGTTGACTTCTTCTGAAACTTCCATTTTCATGCTTCCTCAACTTTTTATGTCTTTTCAGAAAGTTGTTTCCTTTTTGAGAAATTGTAGTCATATCATTTGTTGATGCAACTTTATGTGTTATACTATTTTCTAGAAACCCGAAGATCTGTGGGCAATTCATTCTCAACCTGTCTTTCCACGGCCTCACAAAAAGGATAGTCCTTCTTGGATTGCAATACAGAAGGTACGGATTAATAAGTTAACCTACCATTCTTACACTGCAATGATATTCAATTGCCCATATTGCACAGTGTGCATCAATTTGTTTGGATAAACCTCCATGTAGAGGGAAACTCTGCAATTCATTCACAGACACAAACATGATCAGTTTTGTGTTAACGCCCGATATTACAAATACTGCATCTTTCCATGGTAATTAATGTCCATGCTTTCTCTAAGGCAACATGAACTGAGGAAGCGATAAGTTGCAAGATTTGGGTGCAATAATTTGCTAATGAAATATTGTGTGCTGGTAGCCTGGCCCATCTGATGTCTAGGATCAAGCAGTAGATATACTTGTAAAATAATCTCTGTTAGCCATTTAATTATGAACTCAATTTCATTTGCGTAAGTGGAAGAATGAATTAATAAATTACTCTATGTAGACTTTACTAACAAAGCAATAATAGTGGCAATGTTGATAAGGATTTGGGCTGCTACATGTAAAATAATCTATGTTAGCCTTTCCATACAACTTGCTTAGGCTCTATTTTATTGTAGGAGAAAGCTAGAAAAGAAGCTATGCTCTTAAATCATGGTTTAAATCTATATGTCTTCCATTTTGCTCTCTATTTTCTAGTTCGATTATATTGATTGTTTTGTTGGCATTTATTATTCATCGTGTGATGAATGCAAGTTGAGTTGAACCCATTTTGCACTTCATAGTACTTATAATATATCTTTGGTTTTATATGGTCGCAAGTTTGTAAGAGAAACTAATATTATCTTATCATTCTGAAATCAGGAGCTGTTTACTTACTGCTTGATGTTTTTGTTTTGTTTCTTTTCAGCTCTCTCCTTATTAACTCTTCTTGTTTTGCATACTAAAATCCATCCATTTGGTATTCAGATCACTTCCCGTGGTGAAAAAATTGGTCTACATCATTTCAAGCCCATAAAACCCTTGGGCTGTGGCGATACTGGCAGGTATTGGCATGTGTTTATTAGGTCTTTGAATGAAATAGGTGCATTGTCCATGGATCTGTGTCATGATTTATGACTTCCATTCTATTTCCAACTTGAATTGCTTTTCTCTGCCCATTTTTCCTTTATTGTCTGCACATGTAATGTTGGTTTTGCTTGGAATCGCGATGCTACCTTGGAAAGCTCTATTTGGTCTTATTAATTTTCTAGTCTCTGCTGTAGAAAGCATTATGACAGTTTTTCTTTATTCCTGACCACTCTGATGACTGCTTAGTGCCTTTTCTTGTGCTGGCATTCTGTTGATCGTTTTAGGCTTGAACTGTGACTGGCTTATTGCTGTTCACATGGACATAGAGTTTTCCTATGCTTATGTTAAACCATTGTTACGTGTTTCAGTGTGCATTTAGTGGAGCTGCAAGGTGCAGGGGAGCTGTATGCTATGAAGGCAATGGAAAAATCTTTGATGCTGAACCGTAACAAGGTGTGAAGAACCAAAAGTTATTTCCTAGATACCTAGCAACTTTATCACTCAATTCATATTCATTTCATATCTTATGTGAGAATATATGCATACACATATACTTCGGCTAAGAATGAAAACTAATAACGTAGGCTCTGGCCACTTACGTTCTTATCATTTGAGGATTGGAAATTTGGAACCACCATGATGCATGACACTATCTAATAAAAACTTCAAACTATTAAATTGGATTCACAGAAAGCAAGCCAGTATGAACTCTTTGAAACCTATCTTGATTTTAAGTTCCACAATGTCCCAGAATGTTATGGAAACTTTAACATCCTAGATCTTCTCTGCTGAAGATAGCTCATGTCTGATGACATAAAGTTCTATTATCATCATTTATTATAATGACTTTACAGGTTCATCGAGCATGCATTGAGAGGGAAATCGTTTCACTCTTGGATCATCCTTTTCTTCCATCACTGTATTCTTCTTTTCAGGTATTCTCATTTAAGATACTCTTCTTTTTCCCTACATTCAGAAATTTTATCATGCAAAGTCCTGTTTTTTTTTTTTTTTTTTTTGAATTGTGTTTGTAATTGATGAACAGATGCTTACTTTCTTTACTACTGCAAATTAAGCAACTGATCAACTATTTCTGTAGCATAAATGGTAGAAGACTATTGTTTGGCTGAAATGCTAGAAGTTTTAAGGGTGCTTTATTTTTGGTTGCTTTTCCACCATCTTGTCATTCAAAATGGTTGCTCACTTCCTTGTAAAAGAAAAGCATCTTATCAACTGAGAAGTACTTGGGGCCATCATCCACCTCTCATGGCCAAAACGCAGTTATGTAATGGTAATGACTGTGACATAAAGTCTATTGTGGCCACTACGCTTAAAAAACTCAATTGTTCTAGTTTTTTCTTTATTTAAGGGTAAATTGCAATACCCCACTAAAAGTATTGTGAAATTAGACAAACCACCCAAAAGTTTAAAGATTTGACTGAAACCCCCTCCATATTTAAGAAAATATTACAAAATGCTCTCAGCATTTCTAAAATCACCCATCGATATGGGTAATTTGGGTACAACAGGGGTTTCTGCTATGTGTTTGTTCAAACTTTTGGACAGTCGCTTTAATTTGGGTACAAAAGGGGCTATTGTAATTAATCGTTCCTTTAATCAATGTTAAATACACAGGTCTACTATTTTTCAGCCTTACATTGCTGTGTTTGTGAAGATTCATATTTATTTTGTTTTTAACGATTCACATCTGTGAAGCCTGCAACCATTGCGGTTCTCTTCCATAACCATGGCAACAATTTAGAACCATGGAATGACTTCACCAAATAGTTTAAATTGTTGGTTGGATGCTCTCCCACAGTCCCATGTAAATACATGAATGTTTGTGTAAGTGCACGCACGTCCATTAATGCATGTTTAGAGAGGTGCTTACAAAAAACAAAATTGCTTGAATGCATAGGATCTCTAAATTCGTGCTAAAAAAGGAATTTGCATTGTTTCTTTTATGTGTTTCTTCAATTTCATGGATCCTCAAATAATTCTATTTTAAACTACTACTGGAATGCCCTTTCTGAAAATTTCAACATTTGTTGCTTAGATTTACTGATTTATTGCATGATGTGAAATATGCTGATCTGTATTTATCTGGTCAGACTTCTACACATGTTTGTCTGATAACAGACTTTTTTCCTGGTGGAGAGTTATTTGCATTGCTTGACAAGCAACCCATGAAATTATTCAAGGAGGAATCTGCAAGGTACTCCCAGTTCTCCATTTAATGTCTTAAAATGCCAAGGCCATTTCTTCTCTTACCATTTCCAGATAAAATGAATAAATTCCCACTTTTGAAACTTGAACTGTTTCTTGTGGTAGAGTTTCATTATAGTAAAGGTAAGTTATGATAAGAATTTGGATTTTGTTAGTGTACCTAAAGGTGTGGGCCGGGATTATCTTTACTGTTTTTTAGGCCTAGATTTTCCATATCATTGAGCGCTCTTACCAAACAAATAAACCATAACGACTTTGTCCATGCCAGTCGCTGCCTTATGCATCACTACCTCTTGTATGAACAAGCTTTCTATTTAACTGTCAACTGTTATTAATTATTCTCCAGGTTCTACGCTGCGGAGGTTGTGATCGGCTTGGAATATCTTCATTGTTTAGGTACTTTATGAACAGAAGTGCATCCTTACTCTCTGTGCTTTGGTTTAACATTATTAGTTTTTTCTTCAAGTCATAAATCAGAAGAACACCAAGAAGATGAATGCATGCTAGTGCTGTCCAAAAGTCCTAGAATATTGTTAGATGTCTTGAGAACATGCTATCATCTTAAATCCTGTGTGACTGAAGCTCAGTATTATGTGTTACCATCAAAGCCAGCAAAAATGATTAGAACTCATGCTTAAATAATTTCTTTTTTTTTTTTTTTTTGTTCAAGTTGTCATGATTTAAAGTATGCCAAACTACAAAGGACTGAATGCAACTGTATTCATTCCCGATGCTTCTGCACATTTTGCATAAATGCTATGATGCGATTCACATCCTCGTCTTTGTCTTTTCCTTTCCCATTACTCCAAAAATAAAATTTCCATTGTGTTTGGTGTTGTATCTTTTGCTAATGGGTGCAAGTGCCTTGAAGGGGATGGATTTCACGATGAAATAAGCCATTGAGTTCTTAGGGATGATTAAACTGATAAATACGTAATTTGCAGTTTCCAGCAACATATAATATTTGGTTTCTATCTAATTTTGTTGAAATAATTAATTTGAGTGACATTATGTGTATATGTTAATATAGTCTTTGTTTTGAGGAAAAAAACTTAGTTGAAACCCTAAATTTCAAGATTGGTCTATCAACCAGAAAAGCTTAATCAACTTTCAAATCTGTACATCAGAGTAAGGTTCTCTAATAGTAATTTGTATTTTGCATCAAATGTAATGATTTTTTTTTTTCTGGTTCTTATTTTAACTTCGTATTGTATGACATCATACAGGAATAGTTTATCGTGACTTAAAGCCTGAAAATATTCTACTTCAGAAAGATGGACATGTTGTTTTGAGTGACTTTGATTTGTCATTCTTGACATCCTGTAAACCACAGGTATGACACTATCTTCCTGTTAAAAGATCATATTTTTCATTTCTTACCTATAAGTTTTCACTTTGGCTTCCTATCTATGGATCAGTGTTATCATTACACCAACTACATCCTATCTTCTTGATAAATGATTGAATCGTGGGCCGGCCATCTTCCCCTTCTTTATACTTTTCGAAATTTTTAATCTATGTTTTTGGAAGTTATTTAAGTCTTCAGTTATTGTCACTTAAATAGAATAAGTTTTTTTCTGCTTTGCATTTGATACTCTCCTTTTGCACTTTTACCATTTAACGGTACAATTCTGTAACTCATCAATGCCTCTTTATTTGGTGGAATGAAGGAAAATTTTAAACCATGGGCTGTTTTGGTAATACTTGATTCAGTCCTTGCACTGAAGAATCATGAACATGTTATTCGTTGACTCACCCTAAAAACTGTTTGGAATTTTTTTAATATTTTTTTTATTTTTTTGTTGTCTTTAACCTTGCAATGCCATGAAAACATTGGAAACACTGAACTCAATTTACATGTTAAATTCAAATGTGTTATGCAGATTATAAAGCATGCACCACCTAATAATAGAAGAAGATCAAGGAGTCAACCACCACCAACATTTGTCGCAGAACCAATAACACAATCAAATTCTTTTGTTGGGACTGAAGAATATATTGCTCCTGTATGGTGAATTTAACTTATGCTGAACTTACACTTGTTTACTTGAAATGATCCAATGTGTGTCATACCTGGGAAGTTCATGTTCTGTGAGATTTTAGAATGACTATGGAAGTTCTTCAGAGTAATTTTCCTGGATTGAGTCTGCAGTGGAGTTGTTTAATGTCCCTCTATGGTGGGGCTTAAAACAACTATTTGGAGGAGTCAAAGTGTTTCTGCATTTTATGAGCTCATATTTATAACAGATTAACCCCAGTATGTTGGCTGCTACGATTTAGATTACATGAACATAGGTTAAATTTATGTTCATAGGAATTATGTAACATAACATGTTTATTACATAACTAGCGGAATTATGTCTACCATTTCATAGAATTTGTATTCATACAAGAGTTCTTATGAGTTTCTTGACTTCAGGAAATAATCACAGGCATGGGCCACAGCAGTGCAATTGACTGGTGGGCTCTTGGTAAGCTTATGGTGCACACATGATACACAAATGTTAAAATTATCCCTTTTTCTTCTCACTGCTGCTTTAATTGGGTTCATGGTGGCCTCCGTTTTCTTTCATTGTTTTATTATTTGCCATCTTCTTGCAAATAGAAGCCTCTAGAGCGACCAGTTTTATGTAACATGACATGTCCTTGATTGATGACATCATAATGTTTCTTCTTAGAGATTTCAATTGTGCATATTATTCAAGCTTTTTTAATTGCATGCCCTTTTTAGATGTACTACTTGTTATGCAGAAGCAAAGCTTTTGTTGCTGTAATCTTCTTGATGGGACAGCTCAATGACTGCTCAAGAGCATTGGGTTCTACAGTCATTGTCATGCTGCAATATTGCAATATCTATTACTAAGCCACATTTGACGTTACATATTTGGTGGTTGAAACAATATAGCTAGCAAGCTGCATGTTCTGTCACTGGATGATTTATGCAGTATGAGAAATTTTGCCTTAATTTTTATGCGTGAGTAGTAAAAGATTATATATTATTTGCGTTTTGAAGATAAGTGCCGCTTCTGCTCAATTTACTCCTTGAATATCATGCATTATTTGACTCGTCTCCTTTTCTTATGAATTTTTTTGTTTATTTACTTTGGAATTCAGGTATTTTGTTATATGAGATGCTATATGGTCGTACGCCTTTCAGGGGAAAGAACAGGCAAAAGACATTTGCTAACATTTTGCACAAAGATCTCACCTTCCCAAGTAGCATCCCCGTAAGATCATTAACTTTTGCAATAGGTTATCATAACCGTGTGAGATACTATTTATTTTGCTATCTAGTTCTTGAGTTTGTCAATATTTTATCTTGTGATTAAAATGATGAATGATGCTCTTCTCCCATATTCCTACCTAACATCGGTGCCATCAGGAAATTGTTTCCTATGAAGCCTGCTTAAATCTGACATGTCTTTCTACAAATGGAAAGCATTAGCGTTTTGTTCTCCGATTTTTTTCTTCATTGTACTATTTCTGTATTTTTCTTCTTTTTCTCTGTCTTAACTTGGTTAATTTTATCTTCTTAATTTGTGCTTAATTGGTGCTTCTCCTGTCCCTATGACGATGGTTTCTGTTTTTTTGGGTTACATCGATCTAACAACTTGTTTGGTTACTTCTACATATTTGGATTTTTAAACGCAACAAGGGGATATCTTTGAACATTAAATCATTACTCTAAAGTCTATGTCATTATTAATGTTAAAACTTACAGACCAATTATTTGCTTACTGACCTATATATCTTGACGTTCCAGGTTAGTCTTGCTGCCAGACAATTGATTAATGCATTGTTGAACAGAGACCCTGCCTTCCGATTAGGATCAAAAGCTGGTGCTAATGAAATCAAACAACATCCTTTCTTCCGTGGAATTAATTGGCCTCTCATACGCTGCATGGTAGTACTTCCATCTATGTTTTGAGGAATGATTTTTTCCCAGTCCCCAAACAATGTTTGCTTTCGGTTCTTGGAAATACCAATATTGATTAAGCGATGGCTACCTCTCTTGAATGCTTTATGTGTGCAGAATCCACCGCCTTTGGAAGCGCCTCTGCAATTAGTAGGAAAAGATCCAAAGGCCAAGGATGCTACATGGGAAGATGATGGTGTGCTTGTACAGTCTATGGACATAGAGATTTTTTAAAGGTTGAAACAAACTATTGTTATCAATTCAGTAATTCTCTCTCCTGCCAATTCATGGAACCTTTTTCGTTACATCAAATGCAAATATCTGTCCATACATTGAAATGCCTTTGTCCAGTCTATTCAGTTGTCGCCAAAATTGCAAATATCTTATGCAGGTCTTGCAAATTGCAGACCTCACAGAGTAGTGCTTTAATATATATATATGTGTGCTTTACGGGAATTTGCTCTCAAATTTGTTTATTCTTGTGTGTCAGTTGTGCAGGAGTAATACCTTTTAAGGCGTTGTAAATGAGATTTTCTGGTGCCTCAGCTTAGCAGAGGAGATCAGGAAGGGAAGATTACTAAATTATGGATTCCAAGGGAGTTATGTAATGTCAATGATTAAGATTAACCAGATGAAGTAGGATTTGGGTGGCCTACGTTATATGACCGAGGAGGAGTTATAGGCAACCAACTTTTAACGTATCTACCTGTGGTATTGATATTTTGATTAATAAAAGCCGGTAGCATACAATGCAGATGCAAGTTTCTCTTTTTGGGTTTCATCTTTTTCTCAAATGGCTCAGATGATATGTCGAAAACCTTGTATGTGGCCATGCTTGATAGGTGAGAGAGGAAACCCGACAAGGATAATGCGAGCTGGAAGAAGCCCAAAAGAAAAGGGCCTAACCAACCGAGTTAGGTCCTAACATGCCGCCTCATTTAGCCCAACCCTGTGGTATCCTTGCTTTCTATGGCCTCCTGCCGGACTTAATGGTGTACTCACTCTATATCCCATATGACGAGAGTTCAGTTGTCCATTGGCTACCTTCTGCTACGCTAAACATTAACCTAAAGCCTTTCACATAAATAGCCCATTTATCAGGTTGTTTCTAGATTTTTTTTTTTTTTTTATATCATGATATAAAAAACGAAAAAACAATAAAAAATTGTAACATTACCCCATTTGATCCCCAAGAGACCGATTCAAAAGATGTATATTTCTTTCTCTTTTCTTTTCTTTTTTTTTTCCTTTTGTTATTGTCTCGTGTGTGTGTATATGCATATATATATAGTGTGACTTCGCAGTTAACTAGAGCACAGAGTTCTTGCTGGTGTTTATTTTTTCCCGTTTCCATAAATATACAACAGGCTGTTCAAGTGCAGGATCATACTAATTATTACACTGTACGTGTATCTGAAAGTAAAACTTTACGCATTGAAAACAAACTAAAATGATAAAATTAGACAAGTTAGATGTACAAGACGGACAAGATGGACCAAAAATTTGTGGAAGACATTAATTAGACAAACAAATGAAGTAAGTATACTGATAGCTAAAAGTTAATAATGATCTATGGAGTTCCTGCAGAGCGGGCAGGTAAAATGATCACGCTCTATCCATTTCTCAATGCAATCCATATGGAAGATGTGCATACACCTTGAGAGTTGGCTCACCTCGTCTTCTTTCTCCAACTCCATCAGGCAAATGGAGCAGCATACACCCTCCTCCTGCAACTCTTCAAACCTGCAGGGCACTGGAAGAAGCTGCCGCTGAGGCCTACTACAGTCCCAACAGTACTCAATTTCTGCTGCCTCGAGCCTACTACCACTACTACTCATGAGTAGTACTATGATACTGAAAAGCGTCTGTTTGATTTGACGGAGGGGAATGAGAAAGCATGTGTAAAATATAAGAGTTGCCATGCATATGCCTGAAGACTGGGGAGAATTCATCAGTACTGAAATCATATTGTTGCCTTACAGCTACTCTTTTTTCTCCTCTTCTTGACTGGTTATTTTGTGTATGCGTTGCAGCTGATTGATCACAGTTTATATGTGCAGGGAAGGAAACCATTCTGTACATATAGACAGAGCAACCGACTACATGACTTAATTCAATTAGCCACAGAGAGAGAGAGAGAGAGAGAGTCAATGCCAGTTTATTTAGAATAATAATAATAAGTTAGTTAGTACTAATTAATTCTTTAGTAAAATACATATACAAATGCTATGCTACATATGGTAGACTATTAATTAATATTAATAATTAATAAGAAGAATCGAAGAAAAATAAATAAATAAGGTGTTTGAATTGCAAAATTATTATTTTTTTTTTTAAAAAAAGTCCACGCATCATCACTTACATAATTAATACATGTGTACTAGATTCATTCCTTCATAAATTAATTAGCAGTATACTTAAGCAAGTAAATGGGTTATATATCATATCATATATATTATGGCATGCAACTTATGTCCTGAATACGGCGGAGTTGCAGGGCGGCGCCGACCCCACTTTCTCTCTGATCTACCTTAATTAGTCTTCTATTATTTAACACTACTGTGCTACCTATGATTTTTATTAATTAACTAATTACTATGTTAATGCGTTTGTTTAGTAGTCACGCCGCTTCCGCTTTATGCATTATCGTCAAAATCTAAAATAATCAAAGTACATCATACATGCTAACAAGTCACCCATTCGTGTTTGTTTACTCTTTCCCTTTTTCTTAATTTAAAAAAAAACTTGGAATTTAAGTTTAATTTATAGTCATTCTTAAATTAAAGTTTGACATCTGATCACTCCTGTAAAATTAAACTAGAATTTAATAAATAGTAACTACGAGTAGGATTTGATTTGAAAATAATGAGTTAAGGAAGAAAAACAGCTTGATTGATTGATTGATTACCTGTTAAATTTTATATGTAACACTCGCTTACACGCATAATTCATTCATGAACATGAAGTCGAGATTTTTTAAATCATATCTTGTCATGTAGTAATATGATAATCCAGTGTTAGCAAACCTTAATGATACTTTAGTTTTATCTTAGAAATTAATGACATTTGAGGTTGATAAATTAAATCTTTGCCAAACGCAAATTGCTCCGTAATAGGCTCCTTGGCTTGTACTACTTAATTCTTTTGCATCCATTTATATGTAACTCACAAAATTAAGTAGCATAAGTCAATGTCATTCTACAAAAAAAGAAGTCAAAAAAAAAAACATTGGCAAATGGCATCCTTTATTCTTAGAAACATATTGTTGGAGATTAATTTCATTTTCAGACAGGCACACCTGACACCCCCGGAGCACTGCATAAGGTAGTGGAAGGGAAGATGGCCAAAGCCAAAGATCGGGCCGGCTTGACTTGAGTCAGATGGGAATGGAAAAAGAAAAATAATGCCGACCAAATCTTAAAAAATCTTTTACAACATTATTATAAGAATAAGAATGTTGTTGGAGGCAAATGGGAAATGCATACAAACTGCTCATTGCAAAAATAACACCCAGCCTTTCCCTTCAATTAAACAATAACCCTCCAGACCACTTGCTTTTATATAATTTAATTGTTACTGATCAAATTCAACATTGATGTCACCCTCCACACTCATGCTCTCTCTCTCTCTCTCTCTCTCTCTCAATTAAACCTTTCTGGTTGGGTTGCCAAAACGTACAGCAACTGCCACACGTAGCTGTGATTCCAAGATATCCCCCACCTACCGCTTCATATGCTTCTTTACCGCCCACCTAAATGCATCAAATTAAATTACAAGAAAAGCGGGGTTTAATTTTTAAATTATTTTTAAAACTGCGAGCATTGGGCCTGCGTCTACAGGCCCAGCCATGCAGGCTTGCCTTGCGCCTACAAAAGTCAGGCGCCCAAGCGTGCCTGTTGTTTTCTTTTATTTATTTTTTTTCTTTACCTTTTCCCACAAATTTATGTTTTTATTTATTTAATTGGATGTGAAAATTATAAAAAAATAATTTTTATTTTTTCATATAAGCTGACGATTATGTAAGATATACGATATGTTTTTAGATTTTAGATTGAATAAATATTACTCTTATTGTTTAAAATTGATCTCTTTGATTTATTGTTTTATTTATAAAAATTCTCATCAAGTTAATTTTTTGTTCTTCTTTCTTACATAGATAGACTTGATTAGGCTTTTTCCTTAGCTTTTTCCTTCATTTTTCTTCTTTTTTTCTTTTCTCTCTTTCCTTACCTTGTTTCTCTCCCTCTCAATGGCGTCTTTCTCTTCCTTTGGATGAGCTACGAGTTTCAATCTAAAAAAAATGACTAATTTCATCTTTTCCTTATATATATACTCCATTTGCCTTCCTTATTAAATATGCACTTGTCCTAAATCAATTTGGCCAAGTATAAAGCAAAGGAAAAGTTTGGAAGCCAAGGTGGTGTTTTTGGAAGAAAAAGGTGATGAGTTGGCTTCCATGCATTTAATTAAGGTGCTTAGGTGTCCTAACTAAGGAATTAGGCTAATTAAATTCCTAAGCCAGTTTGGTTCAAGTAACTTGTCATTTCTTTCTCCAAAAATTTTGGCAAATTCCCTCTCTCAAAATTTGGCATTTTCCAATCATTTAAACAAGTCTCCAAATTTCGACACTCTTTATATTTTGAATAATTTTTCTCACCTCATGGGATGTTCTAAGCATAGGAAATAAATGGTCACTAGTTAAGTTTCGAATGTCGTCCCATCAATTCTCACCGAAACACAAAGCATACTAACATCATAAAATATTAAAATGGTACATAAATTTCACCCACATGTAGTATCTATCTATATGTATAAATATTTTGATAGTTCATATGGTGAAGGATTTTTACAGGAGTTACAAAATTTATTCAAAAAAAAAAAAATAGATACAAAATTTTGATTAAAAATTATAAAATTATATGAAATTTTATTTTTTATATTTAATTTAATATATTTTAATTAATCGACAACATAATATATGTTATCAAACTAAAATAAATATGTTTAGTTCGATCCGAAAATCGATCGGTATGCAACTAATTTAAGATTAATAATGAGCAATATAGATGATATTTATTTTCTTATATTTACTTTTTTTAATGTGATTTTTTGTTATATGTGCTGAGTTAAGTTTATTTTGTGATTTAAAAGATGATAGAAGTCAAATGACCAAAATTGTGTTAATTTACGCTAAATTTCAATATTGGCATATTGACATTTAGAGGAAAAAAAAATTCATATCCTCGAGCTCCGAACATAAAAAATGCCTTTTTGAGAATCAAACTGGATATCTTAAACTTTTCAAATTGGGTTTAAATGCACAAATCCATTATGTTTTGAGTCATCAAAGTCGGTTGCAAAGTTAGAAGAGAAATTAGAATCCTATGACGATACGAAACACTACTTAGTATTTAGACCATATCTAGAGTTATAACATTGGATTATGATGATTCAAAAGCCCGCAAAAAAGAAAATATCAAAGTTTACAATCTTCATAAAGAGCCTAAGTCCAGATTACGTCGCCTTTTGACCCTAAATCAATTTGGAAGTTTCAGCACATAACCTAAAGTCTTATTCAAGCAACAAGTCTTACTCAATTTTGAAAACTAGCTAAAATATGACTATGTTAGCTTTTATGTTTATCTCTTTACATGTATAAATAGACTCTAGTACATTAAAAGACACATTTTCTTTATATAATTTAAGGTATATTACTTCAAAAAATGTATAGCTAATTTTATCAATTCAATTCAAGAATTTCAATTTCAATTTCTATTTGCAAACGATTGTGAAGCACGAGTTTGATCTTTAAACTATTCTTAATGATTTGAGTATTTTTTGTTTCTATGAAATTAATTAATTGATTTTTGAATTTAATTAATTACGATTGCATAGGTAATTGTTTAAGATGACCAATTAGTCAATTTTCTATTGTGATTGATACCTCATTGTTAAACAAAAAGTTAGTATAAAAAGTAAATTAGGTTTAACTACCTAAGAGAAATAAAAGGATGAATTAAATAATTTAAGCGTCCTAAAATTGTTGTTCAATTTTAGTTATCTTCCTAATTCTTAATTCTATTGTTAATTAGACTAAGATTGCATCAATATCGAAATCAATTAACAATAAGAATTTAATCCAAGCGTAAAGTTTTTTGTTAATGAATTTAGGAAAGTTTCGGATTTATTCTAGCATCTAGGTAAATCTAGGCTAAGTATTCAATGAAATAATAGTAATTGAGATGTCAATGATCAAATATGCAAAGTGAATGCTTGAATTTCTTCTTGAACTGAAGTTTTCTTAAATTAAATTATTTTTTATTTTATACCTTGCTATCTTTAAATTTGGCTCTACAAACAACGAAAACCCCTATAGATATAATAGAATTGATTGACCGATCTTTAGGATTCGACCCAAACTTGCCTTCACTCCAAATTTTGATAAGAATAGTAAATTAAATTTGGGACACATCAAAGATTATTATAAAAAACACTAAAACAAAATAGGTTTTTACTATTCATAACACTATTCACATACTCATAAATCACTATTCCTTTCACTATTCATGATATTTTTTTATACTTTAGTCTCTCTCTCTCTCTCTCTCTCTCTCTCTCTCTCTCTCTCTCTCTCTCTCTCTCTCTCTCTCTCTCTCTCTCTCTCTCTCTCTCTCTCTCTCTCTCTCTCTCTCTCTCTCTCTCTCTCTCTCTCTATATATATATATATATATATATATATATATATATATATCAATTTTAAACTTCAATTGTACTTGTTATTTGGTCTCATTTTGTTTTAATGTTTTTTGTTAATTACCTATATTATTTAAAATTTACTATTTTAGTTTGTCATTTTTTTAAAATTCTTATCAAATTAATTTAAAATTATATTTACCGATAATTTTGATTTATTTTTCTATATGTATGGATTTTAGAATAAACTTTTAGAGTAAGATTATTTTTTCTTTTGAAAAATAAATGTATAAAATTTTTAAATTAAAGTAGCATGATTAATATATATAATTTGTTTAAAATACATTTTTAGATTGAAAGTGTATTACAAATAATTTTTTCTCGATTGTTTTAGAAAAAACTCAAATTAATTAATTAATAATTGAAAGTTAAATGTGAAAAACGGGAAAGAGACAGCTTGCTCTACACGTTAGGCTCCGTATTCAAGCACTAGCTATGTATAGCATAAAAATAAAAAATTAGTTAAGAAGGAGAAATAATAATAATAATAATTCATGTGTTTTATTTGTTTCTTCTTTATATAATCAAAATTTATCGAAATCCATTTTGTAATAATTTTTATTTTAGTCTATTAACTTCAAATTTAGTTAATATATTCATTGTAAGTTTATATATATATATATATATATATAGTGTTTTTTGTTTTATGCTAAAAACTGCGAATCCACTTAGTATAGTTATAACGTATAAAAAAATATTGAATCGTTGTTTTTTTATAAATTAACTATGCAACTACTAGTTAAGAACTAGCCATGTAAAAAATATTAAATCATTTTTTTATATATAAATTAACCATGCAACTACTAGTTAAGAACTAGCCATGTATAGTATAAAAAAATATATAGTTTTTTTTAATTTTTTTTTTTTACTCATACACCTAAGCTTCTTAGCGAACTAATTATGGTAAGATTTGAACTCATAACCTTTTATTGCAAGAGATCATTACCATTGGACTCGAAAGCTATTTGATAATGAAAAATTAGTTAAGGAGGAAAAAAAGAAAAAAAATTCACCTATTTTATTTGTTTCTTCTTTATATAATCAAAATTATCGAAATCAATTTTGTAATAATTTTCATTTTAGTCTATTAACTTCAAATTTAGTCAATACATTCTTTACAAGTTCATTTTTTTTTATAGTGTTTTTTGTTTTATGCTAAAAACTTTGAACCCACTTAGTATAAATATAATGTATAAAAAATATTAAATCGTTGTTTTTTTAATAAATTAACTATACAACTATTATTACACTAAGCATTTACTATTTATTTATTTATTTTTAAATATTTTAAATTAAATAATTAAAATTATGTTTTAGCTTAACCACTCAATGATTCAAATTAATATAATTTTTTTATTTTAATATTTTTTTTGTGAATAAATATATAAAAATTAAATTCACATTTTTTTCAAAAATCGATATTCTCATAAACATTAAATAAAAAAATTTTTTTTTATTTTTTTAATTCTATGTAAGTTTTTATTAATTGTTATTTTAGTTTTTTTGACGGAATCTTACGAAATATTAAAGCTTTTTTAAAATTTTTATTTAATTTTTTTTTTTTTGGGATTAACAAGAATAAATCCTTTTTCTAACGGAAAAATCATGAAAACATAAATAAGAAATAGTTACATACAAAATTTTGATTAAAAAATTATAAATATTTTTTTTATCTTTGATTTCATATATTTTTATAAATTCACACTATAACACAGATTATCGAATTGAAATGATTTGTTTAAAAATAATTTTATATATTTTATCCAACTCGCAGATACAGCGTGGATAAAAAAAAAATGTAGTCTAAAGAATTAGACATAAACCCATTGAAGATGACCATTTCCAGATCAAAACATTTCCCAATTGGAAATCCAAAGCATTTCCAGCAAAGAAATTGCATTTTCATGTCCTGACTCATGTTACTATTGTCACTCCTATTATTTGTTAACACACCAAAGATCTTGATGATATCATCAAATTTTCCTAAAAGTTTTAAGTACCACTAGTAAAGGCTAATTGTCCTTCCCTATTTAATAATTCTTTTCCACGTCAGATGGGGGAATTTCCTTAGCATTACTTTCCTCCTCCTTGACCAGCTGTGGACTAACCACCACTCTCCTTCCTTTTCCTCCTCCTTCCGATAGGTGGTACTGTGAAATCGTATTACCCATGTCCCACAGGAACTGGTATTTTATTTACTCTTATGTAAATTCAACATTACTGCTTACAAATACTGTAACTCACCAACTACTGCTGCTACCTTATCCCCACTCTTGCACCAACTACAATCACTAAACCTACATAGCTTTAACTAACTACACCTCATCACCCCCCAGCATTACCAACCACTGTTTACATAGAATGAACATATCTTGTTTTGCAACAATCTATTAGCCAGCAATAGAAAGCAACGAGACAAACTCACACGATTCTATAGATTTAAAATGCCAAGTTTAGAGAGAACAAGGGCAAGATAACTGTACAAAACTTGAGAAGAAATACCCCCCAGCGAGGAACTTAGAAAAGTATTGAAAGGGGCTTCAAAGCTGTCTCATAATTAACTGGATGGTTCAAATACAGTTCACATTGCAAAGGCAGTATATTCCAAGAGCACAAACCATCACCAGATGCAAATGCAGAAAATACATGTATATTGTTTGAAGATGGTAATTTACACCTGGTATATCGCAAAGCAGAGATTTTAAAACGAAATTTCTTGATGTTTTCACCGCAATTAAGAGCAAAAGCAAAGTCAGAATCTCCCAATAATTTTTCAAGATGGTCTATAGGTACAACTTCTGAAATCCTACACCTTCTACCCAAAGTGAGTCCTTCAGTGACCATATCATAATATAGTCAAAGAATCCAAGGCAAGCCATTATAACCTAAGACACGCCTTAGACTAATGTTTCAACAAGTGGAACCACAACAGCCTTTAACATGTCAAAATGTTGATCAAATACGTTTATTAACACATGAGTAGCAAATATCCAGCAACTGAAGAAAGCATAAAAATATTTAATAGCTTAAGAACTAAGAGGGAAACCTTTCATTTATGGAGATGAATGTTGACACAAGTTTGCAGTTATGCTTAAAAGGAAGCCAAAGAAACAGAGTGGGGGCAGAAAATTAAAATAAGATGAGAAAACTTACATGGTTTCATCCTAGCACTGGTTTAGGAACAGAAGTCAAAATGGTTTGTGTGAAGGTTTCTTGCCAAAAATTGCTTCCCAAACAGAGGAAGAAAGCGGTTTGTTTTTATCTAAAAAGTCTCTAACAGCTTTGTCATGAACATAGTATCCCTTTTGGCGCAATGTTCCAATAACAGTCCTGGCTTCTTCAACTCCCTTTTCCCTACATAAGCCATCAACCAATCCAACAAAAGTGGTAACATTGGGAGAGTGACCAGCGTCCAACATTTCGAGACAGAAATCGATAGCATCATCAAAGAGGTCACATTTAGAGAGTCCCTGAATCAAGACAGCATAGCTGAAAGCATTAGGAGTGATCCCATTGGACTGCATTTTCCTGAAAATCCTCTTGGCATCATCAAGCTTGTGTGCTTTGCAAAACCCATCGACAACAGCAGTGTAAATAACAACTTCAGGGATGGTGCCTTTCTCACGCATAGTGCCAAAGAGTTTCATGGCTTCTTGGACAAGGCCATCCTTGCAGAGGCCATCAAGCATGGCGACAGCACTGGGGATGAGCCCAGTTTCCTTCATTTTGTTGAAGATGTCTTTAGCATCTTGTGGGGGTTCGGAAGAGGAAGTGCTGCTTTCTTGTTCGTTTTTAGCAGCAGCAGCAGTGTCAGTGTCAGTCGCGGGAGGAGGATTACTATCCTTCTTGTTGTTGTTATGGTCAGGACGGAGCTTGAATTTATCGAGAAAAACATCATCAGAGATATGATTAAAATCATCTGTTTGGGGCTTAGGCCGGGGCTGGCATTGGGAATGAGTAGTTGTTGAGGGCGGGTGAGATGGTTGAGGGCGGGGAGGACGGTTAGTGTTAAAGTTAGGTCCTCCTGTTCCAGTTCCTCCTCCTCTTTCTCCTCGTCTTCCTCCCCTCCTCCTCTATTGCTATAGTTATTGTTATTGTTAATGTTAAATTTAGGTCTCTCACCTCTTAGAGGCCTATTTGGTATGGGATTCGGCGGATTCCCATTCTCCATTTTCCTTTCTTCTCCTTCATCATTGAAATTGAAACTAGCAGCACCATCAGTAGAAGTAGAAGTAGCAGTTCGTCCTTTGAAGGAGCTGCTGAAACGACGCAGTATTTGGGAAAGAGAGGTGGGTGAGTGAGAATGGAGCTTCAAGATTCGAAATAGAGATGATGATGCCCTTGCCATTTCCCCTGCCTGGATTGATTGAATCAGTGTTTTGATTTGATTTTGAAGGAAGAAAGAAAGAAAGGGAAAGAGGGGTTTTCGTTTTAGGGTTCTTGATAGTGTTGCCTTACGCAAACAAACATTTCAAAGGCGATGAGGGCAACTTGGTCTTTTCAGGGGAAAGAGGGAGGGCAATTGTGGTAAAGAACAGAAAAAACTCTACCTGTGGACTACATGTCGGCTAGAATATAACAGAACAGATTACAAATACAATTACTACTACTACTACAGAACAGTTAGTCTTGCAGAAGAAGAAGATAAGGCAAAAGCAAACTGCGAGACAGATGAATTGAATAGAAATTATTTAAATTTAAATAAGAGTGCTAAGCTTGTCTTCTCCCTCACAGACTCATAGTGAGTGAGTTAACGAGGTAGAAAGAAGAGAGAAACAACAAAATATAATATAATCTGTTCATACTTGTGCTTTCAAGGTTAGACCTTTCTCTCGCTACCTTCTTCCTTTTTATTTTATTTATTTATTATTCGTGCTGCCAAATGGAATGGGAATTCATTATTTTTTATTTGATTCATCATTCTTGCTTGTAATTATTCATAAATAAGTTATGACGGTGATGATTTCTTCTCTTTTCATATCTACAACTACTTGACAGAGAGGGAGGGCTGTATGATTTTTTTAATTTATTTTTGATGTGTGGATTACTGCTATTCATTTATAAGTCATTGCTCTTACATTTACAACATCGATGGGAAAGTAATTTGTAAAATGCAGAAGATAGTGTTGCTATACAATTAATACACCATTCGCAGATGATTAAAACTACAAGTAATTAGTAATTACTACTATTACTGTGCTAAAACTGCTAATGCAAAATCTTTACTTAATCTTCAGCCTGCTTCATTAATTTGTTGATCACCTCACTATTCATATTCTTTGCTCATTTCGCCAAATGTTAGCTTCAGTCCTTCCTTTTCTATTTCATCTTCCCTTCTCTCTCTTGTTCGACCCCATACTTACTCTTACAACAACTTTTGCTTCTTTTCTTCTCAGCCCATATGGAAATGGCAAGCACTCAAACTGGTAATAGCAGCATCCTGTGGTTCTTCCGGGATAGAGGTTTTGATGACAGCACCATCCAAGAAATGTTCAGAAAGTGCAAGCGCCTACAAGACACGCAGGGGGATAGAGCATCTGAAAACTGGGCTTACCTCAAAACCATTGGCATTCAAGAGAGAAAGCTCCCTTCAATTATTTTGAAGTGTCCCAAAATCCTCACTCTTGGTCTCAATGAGAAGCTCATCCCCATGGTTGAGTGCCTTGCTACCCTTGGTTCTAAACCCCGTGAAGTTGCTTCTGCCATAACCAAGTTCCCGCACATACTGTCTCATAGTGTTGAAGAGAAGCTCTGCCCCCTTTTGGCTTTCTTTCAGGCTCTTGGGGTCCCTGAAAAGCAACTCGGCAAGATTTTATTGCTCAACCCAAGGCTGATCAGCTACAGCATTGATTCCAAGCTCACAGAAATTGTCAACTTTCTTGCTGCTCTTGGGCTTGCCAAAGATGGGATGATTGGTAAAGTTATGGTGAAACACCCATTTATAATGGGTTATAGTGTTGCCAAGAGGCTACGTCCCACTTCAGAGTTTCTTAAGTCAGTTGGACTGACGGAGCAGGATCTTCGATCAGTGGTCATGAACTTCCCTGAAGTTCTTTGTAGAGATGTCAACAAGATTCTGAAACCCAATTTTGCATATCTAAGTAGATGCGGATTTAATGATAGACAAATAGCAGCTTTGGTGACTGGTTATCCCCCTATTTTGATCAAGAGCATCAGGAATTCTCTAGAACCTCGGATCAAGTTCTTGGTGGAAGTAATGGGAAGACAAATAGATGAAGTTGTTGATTACCCCAACTTCTTTCAGCATGGTTTGAAGAAGACCTTGGAGTCAAGGCACAAACTTTTGAAACGGAGGAAAGTAGATTGTAGCTTGAGCGAGATGTTGGATTGTAATCAAAAGAAGTTCCTAATGAAGTATGCCTTGCTTGAAGGATCTGCCTGAGATATTTGTTTGTTCTGGGTGAACTTTACCTTTAGACTCAACTCGTTTGAGGATGCAGAACAATGATAACTTGAGTTTTGTAATTCCATTTGTTTTGAAATTTACTGAACTGAGACAAAAAAATTTTAATGGTCTTCGTCCAGCATTATCAATGTTAATCAGTTCTGGCACATTGGCCAAAAGATGCTTGCAAACAGATATCTGGATGTGATGTAACTGTTTTCTTTACAATAATGCTCGAAATGGCAACAATTAAACTACAACGAACAAGAAGTCCTGTAAATCGTGTACTTAATTACAGTGTTTTGTTCCCTAATTAACTTTCGTACAAGTATAAGCCTAGATCTACAAGGGGATTGTTAGAAAATGAAGATACAATAATACGTATGATCTTTAGAAGTGCAGAATAAATTTGGCAACACACAAAAACAATGCCATAGGTGAAACTAGAAGGATGTCCTGCTACCTTAAGCAGATACTTTGTAGCCTTACCAGTAACGTGACTCCAAAACCACTGAAGCTCAAAGATCTAAACCGGGAGACTTGATGGAGTCCTCTGCAATTTTATTACACTTTGTGTTCTGGCATAATTTTGAGAAGATGATGCGATGCTGGAGAGTGAACCAGTTGTGCTGTCAATGGTTCTGATGGAAGGCCATGTGAAGGCAGGCTTAAATGGAGGTATGCGAGGCAGTGGCAAAGTTCCGGATATGATCTGGATTATGGCTTCTGTTTTAGGCCTTTCACTATCAATGGGATGAGAACACGCCAACCCCAGAAGTAAAAGTCTATTTGCTTCGTCATGCTCAAAATCATTTCCAAGGTTTTCATCCACAGCTTCTAGTATGCATCCCTCACGATATAAGGTCCAGACCCAATCAACCAAAGAATAAAGATGCTGGTTGTGATGGATCTTGGTCCCAGGACCTTTACCACAAACAACCTCAAGAACCACTACTCCAAAACCAAACACATCAGATTCGAGGGTAGCCCTCCCTGTGTGGAAGCATTCAGGAGCAACATAACCCAAGGTACCTGGAACTCCACCTAACCCAAGCTCATTATATGAATTCTTTTCATTTTCCAAGGCTCGAGCAAGGCCAAAGTCACCAAGTCGAGCATTGAAGTCCACATCAAGTAGGATATTGCTCGCTTTGAGGTCTCTATGGACGACCTTCTTATCATACTCGTTGTGCAGGTAATGTAATGCTGATGCAACCCCTGCCAGTATCTTGTAGCGACGATTCCAATTTAGAGTGTCCTGCTCTGGAGCCTTGTATAGATGCTTCTCCAGGCTACCATTAGGCATGAAATCATAAACTAAAAGAAGCTTCCCTTTCTCATAGCACCACCCTGAACAAAAACAAAGGTTATATAGTTGTCCTTGCTTTAGTTTGTTATTCAAATTAAATTATTCAGATAGCTGAGTGGTTATATAATGGATGAGATCATGAACTTAAATTTTAAGCAAATGATTAGACAAAGAAAGGAAATGAGAAACAAAATAATCAATAATTACCAACTAAGCGGACGAGATTTTTGTGGCGAAGATGATGAATGATGGTTAGCTCGGCCAAGAAATCATCTTTGCTTTTCATGCTGTCTCCGGAGAATTTCTTGACAGCAATTTCAGTAGCTGTAGCAGCAGCAGGATTACCATCATCAGCCTCATCATGGAGGAGTAGGATGCCTTTATAAACAACCCCAAATCCACCTTCCCCGAGCTTCATACTCTCGTGGAAATTGTTGGTCGCCTTCTTCAACTCCTTGTACTTGAACTCCCTTGGCATACCAGGCAACCATTTCAAGATGTAGGTACCAAACTCATCACTGGTCTCCTCTAGTCTTGCTTTCGATCTCTTTTTCCTTACAAAGACTACTCCACATACCACAAATATAAAAATTATTGTCAAAACTGAGACACAAACCCCAGCGCCAATCTTCCACCATTTCGCATCATTTTTCTCGTCTAGTTGATTATTTATCTGTAAGCTCCATTTCAGAACACAGTTTAATTCAATATGTGGATCGCCAGTGGAAGCAGCAAACCCGAAGTAGGATTCTTGTTTCAGGAACTCTTTGAGGTTGATAGTCTCGTTTAAAAGAGGGCCTTGGGGCTTAGGATTTCCTTCTTTCACCATGTACACCTCCATCAGCTTGGAGGTGCCGTTATAATCAACCCACACGGTGTAGTTAACTCCTGGTGGATCAGGAGAGAGTGTGATATTATGTTTGATTAGAGGGATAGCATTTTTTGATCGAATGGAGTTGATATTAAGCCCAATATGGTTGTTTTCTGGATCATCTGTGTCAAACTCTATAGCCACAATGTGGTTAGCATGGTTTCCATCAGTGGAGGCATTGGTCAGGCCAAGCCATTGCCCGTAACTTGCTTCGGGTATGCTAACATTTGGAGCTATAAGAAAAGCCAAGCCATGACCAGGCTCCCAATCTTTCTCTCTGTAAATGTTAATGACAAATGTGGTGCTGAAGGAGGCCAGTCTGCCATCTCCGTTATCACCTTTGCCATCATCCATCCAAAACCTGAAAGGTTTTCGATACATGATGCGGCCAGATGCATTTTTTTGTTTCCAAGTATGAGCATCATTAGGAGTCTCAGGAGTAAGTTGAAGAGCTTCAAGATAAATTGATGAGTTGCCCCTGAAACTCAGGAACTTCTCATGATCTTCATCGACAAATCTCTCAAAAGTGAATGACAAGTCTTCTGTGAAAGCTAGATGTGCAAGATTGAACATCATAATGATGACGAAAGTGATCAAATTTGGATTTTGGGCACCCATTAGTTTCCGCAGTACGATTGAGTAGAAATTAAGAAAGGCTAGGAGATCATGCAGAAGAGAGCTAGCAGATCAAATGAGAGTACTTTTACCATCTTCTCTCTTGTGCGTGTATATATATATATATGTCAGTTTTAGAAATGAATATATAGAAATCACTAGGAAATTATGACAGAGAACTTTTGGCTGTAACTTGTCGTGAAAGACTTGCCCATTTCCGTTTATATGGCCACTTTGAAATTGGGACATTGTCAATATATGTCTTCTTCTAACTCTGTTATAGTGTTATGCATTCTTTTGTTTGTTTTCCGAGGAATAGAAGGAAGGAATGGGTTATGTATGTTGAATTGTTGAACAGTTGAACAGTAGTAGAAGTTTCAGAAGTCAGCCAAAATATTGAGATTTAATTAAGAGTCAACAATTTCATACCTGCAGAGAGAATTAGCTCAACTCTTTTGAAGATTTATCATTCATATACGTACTACCATTCTGTTTCCTAGAAGTTTCTTTGCAGGATACATACAATAATACCAGTATGCTACGCGGAAGGCCCCAAGATCATATTTTTGAACAAGGAAAAATGGTTTGATTTTTTCCTTGGTTATGCAGTATAGTCTCTGTGGTCCAGTTCTCCAATTTGGGTATGGAAGAACCACAATTATCCTGATAGTAATTAGCTTTAAAATGTATTCAGTCTAGAGGAAAGGAAATTTTATTTTTAATTTTTATTTGGACCAAGGGTACTTATCAAGACTCAAGGGGAAAGGAAATTTCACACAGAAAATGTACTCTTTTTCATATCGTATAGATATGTATAGCTTTCAAGAATGACACACATATACATAATACATGCAGTTTAATTAAGGTAACATATCAAGCACAAGCATATATATATAATTTGGTTTAATTTATTTGCTCAGTTATATAATAATTACTTGGATATGAAACCCCCTACGACTGCAGCAATTATAGATGTAGGATCTCCCAGGATAGCAGAGACAATAATGCGAATGGCACCACCAGCCATCCGACAGCACTTCCTAACTTTTCCACCTCTAATTCCTCCATTCCCATGATGGTTTGCCAACGTCCCCTTGAGGCTAGGGATCCTGGTCTGCATCTCCCTCACCTTGTTTTTATCCACCTGGAGATACATGGCTTCCCAGCTTTCCACTAACAACTCCTTAACACATGACAAATGAAGGTTATACGTTTTGCAGCGAGACCTGTAAGCCCAACCTGGTCCTTTGCCCCCACATTTATGACATGCGCCAGAGAGCTTGACGCACAGGTAAAGATTGTGCTCGCCGTCGTCTAGAACTTGAGGGAGGTTTCCACAACAAGGATGAAGATCGAATCCGCATCGCTTGCAGTGGTAGACAAAGCCTAGAACCTCCTTTCTACATGCATCACATATCCTCCTCTCTTCACCTGGAGGGTGATGGTGAAATTCGAAAGTGCATTTCCTGTAGAAGGAATTGTTGATGACAAGAGGTGGCTCAGCACACGCCTTGTGCAGATCAAACTGATGGCAACTGTATTTGAGACCTATGCCAGCTTCCTTACAGCCGTCACATGTGAATGGGATCTCTGTGTATTCAAGTTTTAGCTTGTGTTGTGGGTGGATAGGATGAGGGATTTCTTTGTCACTGATCTTCATGGATTTCCTTTATTCGATTAATGTCATGCCCTCTTCTAGCTTCTTCATGTTTTCTGTTAGGGAGGAAGTTATGATCCCTTATATATATATATATGTGAGTACATATATCGATGATGTGGATAAAGCTAAATGATTAATTAGAAGAAGGCTAAAAATTAAGCCTAGGCTTCTTCTTTAACTTTAATAAAGTACATAACTTAAAATGGAATTTTCAACAGTCTAATCGATTTGTAAGATAGATAGATATATAGGGTGATACTTTGCTTAAGTTTCACAAGTTGAGAATAACTTGGTGGTGTAGTTGATACAACAAATTAAGGTGTTGATGAGGAGGAGAGTTCAAAGAAAGAAAGCTAGCTTTGACTGCCTGGAATCTAATTAATGCCTTTTTAGATATAAAGAAATGAATTTTAACATTCTTGGCCGTGAAGTTATTGACTTGATTCAGTAATTCAAAACTTGTGTGTGTGTGTATATATATGGAATTGGCCAGTATTAATAATACACACGCATATTTAATTAGTTATGTTCTAATTAATCAAAAAAAAAAAAAATTGAGGAATTCTTGACATCTATCTAGCTATCTATATGTGCTTATTATCAGATACCTGAAATGTATCAATATATATGGGTTTAAATAAGACTGTAACATGGAAAAATTCAATCCAGATTCCAGAAACATAACAATGTCGTGATGCTTTCAAATTAGTAATTAGTCCTGGCTAATTCAATCCATATTTGTAGCTTTTTCCGTACAGTAGTAAGAGTAAATGAGGAGACAGGAACTAGGAGGAAGGAAGGACAGAAAGAAAGAAAAAGAAGATCCAGTTGAGGCGACAACGAAGTACACAAGTAGATTATATTCAAAGGAAAATGTTGTCCTTCATAAAATAAAGTGATTCCAGGCAGGCGGCAGATGCAGGAAATTAAAGTTTGAAGCTGTAGCACTTACTTTCATTTCATGACAAAAAATAAAGCAAGATCACGATGAGTTGTAGAAGCAGAACTAGGCCAGGCCACACTGTAAAACTGCCCATTTCTTTCCTTCTTCTTATTATATATCTATATTAATTAAGGTAATCGATTGATCAGAAAATTCACTCCTGGAATTTAGACAGGAATTCTCTTCTTTTTTCCTTTTCCTCTTTTTGGCCTTTTCTTTCTTTTGACTCTTGAATTGATTGCTTCCTCTGGCGGGATAACAAAAGGAAATTAAACAATCGTAAGTGGTGTTAAGAGTAATAAGACAGATAATGATCCTTTTTTCTTTTTTTTTTTTAAATCGTCATCAGTTTCTAATTCTAATTAAAAGGAGAGGGAAATTATAATTCTGGCAGCAATAATTTAGTTTAGGATAGGGGTGAGTGCCATTTCTTCAATTCCAGCCCATACCCAAAAGACCCTGTTACCTTGTAAAGGCCCAAATGGCCTGATTAAAGTGAAGTTCATTTTACGGCCCAAATGACCAGACTCAACTTTTCAAACTATTGGTTGCGCTGGCTATTATGTTTGTAATCCCAAAGCCCACAATTTTAAGATTGGCCCAAGAACCAAGCAACTGTTTATCGTCTGCAGTGCAAGAAGCAAGAAGTGTGATTCTGCGTTTGTGTTTGGACATGCAGTGAGTCTATGGGAGAGGAAGGCTAAGCAAGAAAGTGGAGTGAAGTAAAGAACAAAAGAGGAATTCCTATCTAATAAACGACTTTCCAATTCCAAGTCGAAGGTCAAGGCCTCTTCCTTTCTTTCCCACTTCTGACCAGGTTAGCTCTCTCTTTCCTCTTTTACAAATTCAATTAAAATGAATGAATTAATTATGTTTTAAATTTTTCTCAATTAAAGTATGGAATGCTCTTGTTCCTTTTTTTTTTTTTTTTTAACTTCTGTACTACCAAGTCAATTGTCTGGATAACTAACTGGCTTGAAAGAAATGCTATGCTAGGCTAGGTTTTCTTTTCATTTTTCTTTGCTGCCTACAGCCACTGAAACTTTATTTTGTATAGTTCACTTGGTTTAGAAGATGAGTGCTAGCAAACCAAGGTCCCTCGGGGTTGGGGGCCAGCATCATGTCTTGGATTATTTAAAGAGAATGCAGGCTGAGAATCCCGCTTTCTTTTATGCGATTCAGCCAGATGACGATCACTCTGCTGGAGGAGCATCTATATTCTGGGCTGATGCCACTTCCAGGATGAATTATAATTACTTCGGAGATACTATTGTTTTCGATACTACATACAGGACACACCGCTATAGGGTGCCGTTTGCCTCTTTCACTGGAATCAATCATCATGGCCAACCTGTGCTGTTCGGCTGTGCCCTCATTCTCAATGACTCTGAGTCGTCATTTATTTGGCTATTCCAAACTTGGCTTCGCGCTGTGTCTGGTCAGCGCCCTCTCTCTATCACAACTGATCCAGATCGCTTCATTCAGACTGCTGTATCACAAGTTCTTCCTGAGACTCGCCATCGATATTCTAAGCAAGGTATATTTAGAGAAACCCAAGACAAATTGGCTCATATATATCACTCTCATCCTACGTTTGAAACTGAATTTAAAAAGTGCATTAATGAGTCAGAGACAATTGACGAGTTTGAATCATCTTGGCAATCCCTTCTTCAAAGATACTATGTCATGGACAATGAATGGCTTCAGTCTATGTACAATGCTCGACAGCAATGGGTCACAGTTTATTTGCGAGACACTTTTTTTGGAGAGTTGTCGCTTGCCAATGGAAGTGGAGGTTTAAACTCATTCTTTGATGGGTATGTGAGTGCGTCAACCACAATACAAATGCTGATCAAGCAATATGAAAAGGCTGTAGCAAGTTGGCATGAAAAGGAACTAAAAGCGGACTATGACACATCTAACACCACACCAGTTCTGAAGACACCTTCTCCTATGGAAAAACAAGCTGCCAGCCTCTATACTAGAACGATATTCATGAAATTCCAAGAGGAATTAGTTGAGACCCTTGCTAATCCTGCAACGAAAATTGATGATTCAGGAACCATCATCACCTATCATGTGGCCAAATTTGGGGAAGAGCACAGAGCACACACTGTTAGTTTCAATTCTTTTGAGATGAAAGCTACTTGCAGCTGCCAGATGTTTGAATATTCTGGAATCATTTGTCGGCACATATTAGCAGTTTTTAGAGCAAAAAATGTCCTTACGCTTCCATCACAATATGTATTGAAACGATGGACAACCAATGCCAAGAGCGGAGCTGTATTAGATGAAGGTGCTTCTGAATTGCCAAATGATTCTCGAGAGTCTTTAACTGTTCGCTATAACAACTTGCGCCAGGAAGCAATCAAATATGTCGAAGAAGGGGCGAAATCTATTCACATTTATAATGTGGCACTGGATGCCTTGCGAGAAGCTGCTAAAAAGGTTGCTGATGTGAAGAATCAAGGTTCTGGAGCCACGCATGGTGGAACTCTGACAAATGGAAGTAGTCAAGAGCTGCAAGTAGCTGAAGATAATACATCAGCTATGTTTCAGTCTGCGGTTAGTTTCTTCTTGCTTGTAACTTGACTGATTTAAGCTTTCTTTCAGCCTATACCACTAGTTAATATCATCTCTAACTAAAGTTTGTGCTACATTTAATTTTCTTCAAAACCTTAAAATTTCTCACTTATTGACGTTAGGAATTTACTAAAGCACAGAATAAATAGCTTACAGGTCAAAATACCGTCTTTATATTGAGTTAAGGATGACTATTGTTGTATTCTTTCGTACTTCAATAACTAAGAAGCTAGATGCTTCAGCTTAGCTAAAAGACAGTTTATGAATATTGTTTCTGAATCCACTGATAATTTGCTGCAGTCATTGCATGCCAGAAAATGAATGAGGAAAATCAAGGAATGATGCGTCCTTGATGCTTCTTTCGTTTTCCTCATTTGCCTTACTGAAGTATGGTAATTTTTTTAGTAAATGATCCACATGATAACTGCAGTATGTGATACTGGACTTATCATTATCTATGTTTCAAACTCATCAAAAGGAGAATTGACTTTAAGGCAGCATCAGCTGTGTATTTAACAACATTATGGTTGTAATCAATGCTTAAGAGATTGATCTGTCAATTTTTATAAGATTGTGTATGCATAAAGCAATATCTCCCTTTTGGATTTGTTCTAATTTATCATTATCCTCACTCAGGATGAGAAGCAAAAGAAAATTCGTGAATTGACTGCTGAGTTGGAGAGTACCAACCAACGCTGTGAAGTATACCGAGCAAATTTGCTAGTTGTTCTGAAAGATATGGAAGAACAGAAGTTAAAGCTTTCAGTGAAGGTGCAGAACGCAAGGCTGAGTTTGAAAGAATGAATATAGTATGCAGGGTTAAATTGTATCAGTCTGTATTTTGTTCCCCCCTTTGTGTCAAACTACCAATGTTCTGGGTTTTCATACTAATGCGACCATCAGGGCACCATGGGGTAACTAGTAGTCAGGGATAGGGTTTCACCTCCTTTTCATTCTGTAGTTTAGAATGTATGAGATCTTTAGGTCGTGCTAAAATCTCGTTGCGGTGATGACAAAGCAAGCGAAAGGAAGTTCGATGCATTTCAATGGAGCTGGCTTCGGAAGTGATTTAGCGTTTGATTAATGCTCTTTTAACACTGCATTTCAATGCAGACGAAGTAAAATTAATGGATCATATGATGACAAATGCATTTGGTGACTCCATGGTGAAATGATGTATTAGTGTATTAAAGGAAAGTTGAAAAAATGCAAATTTGAGTTCACAGTCACTGCCAATGGCTTTCCAACCTCATCCTCAGGACTTGTTGCCACTCAAGGTTACCATTGGCATGCAACAAACCTAAGAATGTATATAGATACAGCATTACTAATAATCCAGAAGAAATGTGAAATAGAAAATTCTCGGATGCCATTTTTTGTCTACTCGGTTACCTCCAATGAATTGTCTTCTCCAGGGACAATCTGATGAAAATAGATGGTAAGGTCACTGGACCAATTAAATCTGAGATGATTT